GAGAGGTGGAAAAAAAAAAAACCAAAACCAACAAAAGAACAACAGAAACCATAACAACAAAACAAAACCAGAACCAATTCAACGCAACCATCAAAAGCCTCAGCGAATTTCTAAGTATGGTACTAATACTGGCTGCGGCTGAGAAGGGCAACTGGAAAAGCCTTTGAACTTCGGAACTACACCAAATCCACACAGGGGAGTGCGAGATTCACGGCTAGCACAGAAGGGCCAGTGCTGTCACAGCTGCACTCGAGGACAGCGGGGCAGTGGGCTCAGAGCGGCGGCCCCGGCCCGTCCGTGAGCAGGCCGGGAGCGCCCGGCGCACACACCGCGAGCCAGCGCACCGCCAGGATCTCCCCCTAACCCCGACAGGTCACCGGCTGCGGCCGTGCCCTCCTTACGCGCCCTTCGCCGCAGCCCGAGTGATGAGGTGGCAGCGCTGCACCTCCCTCCTCGCACCCTTTCCCGAAATGTGCCCCCGCTCAAGACACCACGGGCCCGGGCAGGCGGGGGTGCGGGGTGTGTGCCCCGCCGCCACGGCGGACCCTGCGCACCCCGACAGGAGGGACGGAAGGAGGGCGACCAGCCGCCAGCCACCGCGGCCGAAGGCCCAGCCCCGACGGGCCGCGGCACGGCCCCCCGGCAACGCAGCCCCACAGGGACCCCGGCCCGGCTCACCCTGGTACTGCAGGTCGAAGAGAACGAGCAGGAAGGGCAGCGCGGAGCCCAGGCGCCCGGCGGAGGCAGCGGGGGACACCATCTCCTCCTGCTCCGTCGCCGCCCCCTGTCCCGACAGCGGCGGCTCCGGGCCGGGCCCAACCGAGCGGCGGCTCCAGCTCCTCCGGGCAGGGTCGTGGGCGACGCTGATTGGCCGCGCCGCGCGCGCCCGCCCCTGCCTGCCNGCGGCCGGCACGGCCCGCGGCGGGGATGGCGGCGCTCCGCCCCGGCCGCCCGCTGAAAGGCGCACGGGGCTGCCTGGCTGCGTCTGCATTTCATCTCCTGTCTCTTTGCCCGCTCGCGCTGTGCTCGTCTTGACATCCCTGGAGTCAGGAGTAGTTAAAGATTTGCCCAGAGAATGAAAATCGGATTGGGAAATACAGTCTTGCCTTATCACAGAAGGACAGAATTTCCTAAGTTAGAAGGGATCCATCAGGATCATTAAGTCCAACTCCTGGCCCTCCACAGGACATTCCAAGAGTCACACCATGTGCCTGAGATTCCTCATGGCCCTCCTCTGGACACCCTCTGACAGCTTCATGTGTTTCTTATATTGTTGCACTCAAAACTGCACACAATATTCAAGGTGAGGCCACACCACTGCAGAGCAGAGTGGGACACTCACCTCCCTATATTGCAAAGCAATATAGCTGAAATATAAACACACTTTCAAAGGGATTCATAAAAATTAGGCTGGTTTCCAAAACAAATTCCTACAGAAGTCTTGAGTGTGGCATGAAAGGGTGGATGACAAAGACTACAACTATGTTCAAAGTGCTGGAAAAACAGAAAACTAAGGAATTTCTCCTGAGCTGCTGCTGGTAATATATAGTAACATCAGAGGGCAGTAATTAGCAACGAATGACTCCTCAAGCTATTCATTGCTTCAGAGACAGTGAACTGAATAAGGTGACATTTGTTGGAGATAGTTCTATCTGTGGAGAACCCTGGTATGCTTAGTGATACAACTGATAGATACAATTTCATTAATAATCTCGATTCCAAAACCACCCTAACAAAAGTTTCCTGATCCAGGAAGAATATAAAAGCAATGTAGCAGACGTTGTTTTGCTATTCTCAGTAGCAACACAAGGTAGTATTCTCAGGACTACTTCTTGTAAGAGGTTTCTCAGTCCTTGTACCTCATTTTTGTTCTCACCTATGTGCATCCCTGTCAGAAACTTAGCTGTGATGGAGCTAAATAGTAATAGTAGTGCTAAATAGAAATCGATATAGAAATAGTAGTGTACATCTGCTTAACATGGGATTCTTGTTCATGTAGGCTCATCTTTTGGGAATTTCACATTTGGATTGGTGTTCACAGGAGAGGGCTGTGAGGAAATTCCTTCATCTGGGTTCCTTAACAGTAAATGGAAACAGAAAGGCTCCTACTACCCATAGTTCAGCACAAGAACTTAATTTACATGCTGCAAACTTGCACTTGGAGAAGCTGATCTTTGTCATTGGACTTGAAAGGTAGCGTGAACGTCCAGTCTTGTCTAGGGCAAGGGAGTAAAATATTTAATTTATAAAAAGATGCCCTTATTAAAATGTATATATATATATTTTTAGGGCACAGAATATGTTTCAATTAAAATGCTGCTCTGAATATCAATAAAATTTGCTTCAAATATTGAGATACTGTTATTTTTCTGAAATAAAGAATTTTGAAAATATATGAAAAATGTTAACATAAATGAACTCTTCCTGTTTCTTGATTGAAGTAATTTCTGAAATTTAGTCTATTTGCATAGTTTTGATATTCCTGAAACTGGTTTTTTGTTTACTTATTATTAATTACATATATTTTCCCCAGCAAAACTGCAAGTTTCAAACCTCTGTGATACCACAAAGCTCTTTTGCTTCTCTGGAATGCCTCTGGTTTTACAAAATGTGAAAGATACCACTGACAAAGTGCTGTGCCATCACTGAAGGTGTTTGTTCTTATTTTATGTCTACCAAAACACCAAACAAGCAAAGCTCGTACTTCCAAGCACTTAAACCAGAATTTAGAGCATGTATGTGTGCAGCCTTACCTCCGCATGCTCTAGCAGACACCTCCATACTCTTCCTTCCTAAGTTGAAGGACATCATCTCTCAAGACATTATTCATTCAAGTCACTGGCAACAGAAAACCCCTCTTAGCAGAAACCTCCATACTCTTCCTTCCTACGTGGATGTTTCCATCTCTCAAGACATTATTCATTCAAGTCACTGGCAACAGAAAACCCCTCATGCAGAATTTTACAAGTTCATGTAAGCCATTGGTCTGTGATGCCATCTAGCACCCTCTTTTCGCCACCCAACTGCAGGCTATTATAGCCACATCAGTGAAAATAGTTCCACATAGTGAAAAAGTGCAATGTAGTTGTTAGAAAAAGTATCTAATGTATGCCATTAAAAATTCATCTAGAGGTAGTTCAGTGTTAAAATCCAAGTACTTGCTTGTGTGACCTTTCTATTGTTGCAATTGCATCAACATGTCTCTGCAAATGCATCTCTATAGTTAAGTTGAATTCCCTCTGAGTTTGGAAGAAAGAAAGATAAATGAGCTGACCATATCATTAAAATCCATCTAGACTTGTTATGCAAAGAGAAACTTTTAAGAGAAACTACTTTATTTGAAGATAAAAAAGATTTAATTTGAAAATAGTCTGAAGCACGCAAACTTGAAAATAAAATGTATTAAACTACATAGAGCAGTGTCTATTCAAACTACTTAATTGTGGCTGGTGGCCTTTGTTGGATTGAAGGAGGTGACACGAAAGGGTCAGGAGAGTGGTTCATTCTACCTTTCTTTTAAATATTTTGTTTTCCTGTGATAAAAATACATAGATTATTTCCTCAGATAAAATGAGTGATGGAAAGTTTGAACAAATGGAAGTATTATAGGTATTTTTCATAGTTTAACCCCAGCCAGCAGCTAAGCTCATTTGAAAATTGAAAAATGTGCTGTGTTGGGAACTGGCAGGAAGGAAAAGATTAAATAAACTAAGAATCTGGCTAGACTCATTATTATACTTGCACCATTCTGGTGAAGTCAACTTTCCACCAGAGTTAATGATTACTTGTATGCGTCACTCTGAGAACGCTGTAGGAGAGAGGTTACTAAAGAGTCTATTTCTCAGTTCCCAAGACAGTTTGTCCACTGCCCTCTCAAATTAAAACATGTTGTACCACATGCGTAGTCCTCCTCCATACCACAAAATAGACCAATAACTTTTTCACCTAACACGTTGCATCCGTGCTCTGGGGGCACTGCCAGGCCTGGCTGTGCCTGCCCAGCCTCCCTCAGTGCCCAGTACCCCTGCTACTGAAATGTCCTTCTACTCAGGACATTCCCAAATAGCCATTGCCGAGATGGCATCATATTTTGCCCCACAATCAGAATACTCTCAATTTTCTGCTCTCCAGTTGCAGGTACCCTCTGTGAGTCCCACAAATACCTTGCAAATGCTCTTGGTCCTCTCCTAGTAAATCCACACAAGTTTTAGGAGAGCACTTTTGTCACCAAGGTATATAAGGGTAGAACTCAGCACTAATGTGGGTTAAAGAATACCCACCCTTGCCAAGTGAGGCTGTACCGCTTACAGCTAGTAATTAAAGATTAATCAAGCTCTGGAACAAATTAAGAGTAAAAGAATGAAAGGGTGAGAACCACCCCTTCAGCATAAAAATCTCGGTTATAGCTCTCATCCAAGGCCTGCTTGTGTATTTTGTATTAAACAGATACTAGAATAAGCAACCAAAATCCATATTTCTGCATACTTCATATACCACTCCCCTCACCCACTGAAGAGCATTTCCAGCATTTTTGCACACAGTTAGCATTTACTTTGATATAAAAACCACTTTCATAGCAAGAGAGATCCTTAGAAGACATGCTGAATGGACTGTGGTGTTGCCATTAGGGCATTCTAAGGGCATGGGGTACAAAATTTCTTGGGCACCCAAGGGCCTGCACTTGTTAATTTTGCTCTCTGAATGCTCCAACTATTCACATAAAGTGTTCATCAACTTGTATTGCATATTGACCTCTAGGCCTGACCCACAGAGGCTGTGACTGTCATACTGCAGGGTTTCAAAATCCTTTCTTAGTTAAGGTTTACCACACTAAAGCATCTTCTTCTGGCAATGCCTGCTTTCCATTTTGCTCTCTGAACACTCCAACTATTCACATAAAGTGCTCATCAACTTGTATTGCATATTGACCTCTAGGCCTGACCCACAGAGGCTGTGACTGTCACACTGCAGATTTTCAAAGTCCTCTCTTAATTAAGGTTTACCACACTAAAGCCTTCATAAAGCATCTTCTTCTGGCAATGCCTGCTTTCATAGCCAAACAGATACAGATCTGCAGAAGCAAAAGTCACTAGTACGGAGGACTGGATGTCCCCATTTGATGTATGTTCAGGTTTTCCTTCAGACTAGCCTGATCCTCTGTATTGAAAACCCATTACTGACTGAAGCATGCTGAGGTACCCTTGGAGCATCAAAAACTGAAGCACCACTAGCCTGATCCTCTGGATTGAACCTATTAGTGACTGAAGCATGCTGAGGTACCCTTGGAGCATCAAAAACTGAAGCACCAGAATGATTGCCTCTTTTCTTAAAGCTGGTGTTCACAGCAAATGTGCCCACATCTATACTGTCGCAACAGAATTTCATGGTTCAGTAAGGTAAATTAGTGTCTCAGTAAGTCTGTGTACTTTGGAAAACAAAGTGGTATATCCCTGGCCAAATGGAATTCCTAAATGAAGATTAGGTGTTGTAAATGTCTAATGATTACTTCCATCACTGAATTTGCCAGCATAATTTATATTAAATACAAACTGTTTGAAATTTTCCTTGTGGCCAAAAAGGCTGCACAACATTTGCAACTCAACAATTCAGAACACTTACAGGGAAGAGGAATCAAATCAGAAGGATTTGAGGCAATCTGTAGCTGTTGGAATTGTTCTATCTGCATGGTACAATACATATTTTCATTGAAAATAACAACTTCACCTGACATTACTCCGTTTAAGATACCTTCAGGAAAGCATACTCCCATCCTTATCCTGGTACTGGAACATGGTGTTTTCCTGCAAACGTCAGAAAACTCTCATGAAAGCTCCTCACCATCTCCCGTTGGAGATTATCGCTACGCTCGTGGTCCCTCGGGCTTCCCTGCAGCTCAGCAGGCAGGCGAGTCTCTGCAGCCGCACAAACCCCTTTCCAGCTCGTGGGTACGCAGGATGCTGCAGATCCAGAGACCCCGCTCCACCTCTGCGGGCAGATGGGATCCTGCAGCTCCTCAAGACCCCCTTTGCGGCAGGCAGGAGGGCTCCTGCAAGCCGCAAACCCCATCCATCTCGGTGGGCAGGCGGGCTCCTGCCCCCGCCCCACCGCTGCCCTGCCGCGCCGCCCGCCCCGCGCCGGCGGGGACTCCCCATCGCGCTAAGAACTTCGCTGCTCCACAGGTTTAAACGTGTCGTGTTCGGCGACTGCGTGGCAAAACGTGCCTTGAATTTCCAAAGGCAGCCTTTCCAAAGCTTGTTGCAACTTCCCTTGCATTTTACAAAAAGGGAGAAAAAAGGTTGCTTCTCGGTCGGAGAGGCTCAGGACCGGACCAAGACAAAGGACATCCCGCCTGGGCATCAACATCTGCGGGGCAGGTTTTCAAGGAGCGGGAATCGGCGAGCAGCGGGGGAGCCCTCGCCTGCCTCGGCAGCCGCCCCCGCGGGCGGGCTCGGGGCAGCGGGGCCGGCGCGGGANNNNAGCGGCCGCAGCCCCGCCGCCCCTCCGCGCCCTGCGGCCGCCGCCGAGACCCGCGGAGCTGCAGCCGGAGGTGAGCGCAGGGGTCTCGCTTTCTGCCCCCCAGCCCGGGCGCAGGAGGGTGGCGGGAGGCAGAGCCCGGCGGGGCCTCTCCCCCGGGGCGGGCGGGAGGGAGCGGCGAGGCGGCCGCGCTCCGAAGCGGAGCCGGAGGTTTTGGCAGGCAGATGGAGCCCGGCTCAGGGCCTCCCGCAGGCCCGGCCGTGCTCGGCCGCCTCCCGAAGCGCCGGGCCTGGCCCGCGGACTCCGCCGCGGAGAAGCGCCGCTTTTCCCCCGTCCCGGAGAGGAGGGGTGGCCGCGGGAGCAGGCGGTGCCATCCTTGACCGGGCCTCGCGGGTGGGTGGTGACCCTAAATTCCTCATGGACACAACTCCCAGAATAGAGTAAAGCCGGCAGAAAGAAAAGGAAAAAAAGATCGAAAAGGGCCGCCTCCGTACTCTTTCTGTCTCCATCGAGATGCCTGGGCGGCTTGTGCCTCTTTTCAACTTCGTGGTGCCCCTCCCATTCCTGGCAGTGTTCAAGGCCGGGTTGGATGGGGCTCTGAGTGGCCTGGTCTACTTAGAAGGTGACTCTGCCCATGGCAGTTGGTTGGAACTAGATGGTCTTTAAGGTGCATTCCAACAAAGACCATTATATGATGCATAGATGATGTACCACTGCAGGGTCACGTTCAGTTAAAGCAGGTTTAGTTGGAGCAGCATGCAAATCTGTATGGATATTCCTGACTAGATACATTGGTTGAGGAGAACAAGCCATCCTCATGTGTGGTTTACTTTGCTGGCTTTAAATAATGTTTGTTTATCTTTTTCTAATTAAACCCGTGCATCTGTCAGTGAAAGGCCCTTATTTAATGTGTGCTTTTTCAGGCTTCTTCTGCTTGACACACAAAGTGGTAGCTTTCAAAATTCACATTTTCTGTAAAGAGATTTCTCCCATGTCACATAAATGGACCACATATTGGGCTTAGGTCTTTGGGAGTTAGATTTCATTATGTGTAATATGGCAGATCTATATTTGATACACATCAAATAAAGTTAAATAGACTTCTTTGAAGATTTGCTGGAGACTCTGTTCATGGAAAAGGAAGTGGTAAAAATGCCATTCTTGCAGGAGAAGACTGCAATGTTGCAGACATCACACAGTATCTTTTCTAAATTAAAAACAAGTGGTGTGGTAAGTGATGGAAGAATCTCAATGGAACTGAACCTTGGGTATAAGTGTCACCAGTAAGCTTAAGGTTCAAGGTCCAAAAAGCAACAGCCAACATAGAAATCTGCATAAAACTAAGAGCTTGTAATTTGCTCATGTTGGTGCACGTTGCTGGTATTTACTGGTGGACATGTTACTGTTTGTATTGGAGAGGGCGATGTTAAAAGTGCAGATGAGAGATGAGGTTCATTACAAGTTCCTAGGAGGTGAATGGAGGGAAATACTAATGGGGGTATGAACTATGTGGAGGAGCTGAAAGGGGACAGAGTAGGTCTAACAACATGGTTAGGATCTACATGATCTATGAGAAGAAAGTGAGGGCTTATTTTGTGTCAAGAAGAGAAGAAAAAGGGGTGCTCTAGTGGTGGCCTACAGTTACTTGAACAATTGTGGCAAAAATATTCAAAACATTTTTTGATCTTGGTAATAGCAGATACTTGGTGAGACATTAAGAAATATGTTGTCATCAGGAGGAGAGCACAGACATGCTACAGGTTGTACAGGGAGGTGATGGATTGTCTGTTCATCTTAAATGCCACAGGTGATGTGAACTAGTGTGCAGCAGAAATTTGGACTGGACAATGATCACCAGAGATCCCTTGAGAACATCTCTGTGAGTCTATAACGCATGATGTAGAGGAACATATGGAATGGAGTGTATGACCATATATATATTGTGTGGCTGCTCTTGGAGAGGTATGTATCTAGGAATGACCAAGAGGATGAGAAACTAAAATATGTGTGGAAGGGATGGAAAAGTTAGGGAGGTATAAATGTGGAACATGGCAGTAAGGCAGACGTAGCTAGGGGACTGAAACATTAAGAAATGGTAACAGGAAGAGCAGGTTTTTGGAGAAGAGTGGTAAGGATGAGGGGGGGAATAGGGTGATTTTGTATGATGGAGGAGAAAGATGCTGCTGCTTAGAAACAGTGTTTGAAGCAACTGAGCAGGAGCAAGGAAAACACCAAACTGGGGAGCACTGGGAATTGAGGTGGGGCAGGGATATAGGCAGAAGTTGTTGGTTGCATTGAAGAAAACCATGGATGGTAAAGTAGGTGATGTACACAAGGCATGAGGTGTTTGGGATTGGTAGAATGAGACAGGAACAACAGATGTGGTAAGGTTGTGGGGTTGTATGGTTGCAAGAGTGGGTCTGGTGTGTGCAGATACCAGGCAGAGGTGTGTTGATCTGATGAGTGAGGACAGCATGCGGAAGCAGCATGCAAAGTGTGTGACTGTGTTAAGTTGAGGAAGGTGTTTGAAAGCACCCAGGAGGAGGTTGGTGTGTGGGCATTGGGAGGGGTATGTTGAGTTGAGTAGGCGAGGCTGGAGAAGGGCACAGGACAGCACAGGGGTAGAGGAGTGTAAGTCATGGCAGAGTGAGAAAGGTTGGAGTCAGAAGCAGCACGGAGGAGGTACAGGACGGGGAGGCACACTGATGCAGTGAACAGGCGAGCAGGCTGGCATGTACAGACTTCAAAGTGCAGGGAATGTGGAGAGAGGAAGCGTATACTGTGTAGCTGTGTAAGGATGCAGAAGAGCGGAGCCGAGGATACGTTTGGTGATGGGAGCAGTGTGTGAAGATGGTAAAGGATGCGCTGCGTGCGGGGCAGCGGGAGCACCGGGACCCGCGGGAGAGAGCTCCTTAGCGCGGCGCTGCTGTGGAGGCGTCGCGGGAGAAGGATGCCGGGAGGGAGGACAGCATTCGTGCCGAGCTCGGAGCCGACGGGCCGTGGGGCGGGGAGCGGCGGGGCGGGCGGGAGGCGGCACAGCCCGGCGTCACTGCCGCCTCCCGTGGCGCAGGCCGGGGCTGCTATAGCGACGCGGAGGACGCCGGCGCCGAGCGGAGCCGCGGGGACGGAGCCCGGACATGGTGAGCGCCGGGCCGGGCGGGCGGGCGGCGGGCGGGGAGTGCCGGCCGGGGCTGAGCCGCGTCTCTCTCCCGCAGCCCTTCTCCCAGCGCACCTATCACCCGCCGGCGACCGGGCCCGGCGCGGGGCCGGCGGCGTTTCCCGCGTTCCAGTTCCGCGTGCGGCACGAGAACCCGGACTGGCGGCGGCTGAGCACCGTGGACGTGGAGCGGGTGTCGCGGGAGGGGGACGTGGCGGTCCTGCAGGCGCACCTGGAGCATGTCACCTTCTGCAGCGCCGAGCGGGAGTGCTGCCCGCACTGCCAGGGCCCCGCAGACCCGCTGCTGCTGAAGCTGCTGCGCCTGGCGCAGCTCTCTACCGAGTACCTGCTGCACTCCCAGGAGTACCTCAGCGGCCAGCTCGGCAGCCTGGAGGAGGCCCTGAGAGAGACGCAGGCCCAGCGTGACCAGCTGGGCAAGGAGGTGGCCCAGCGCTCGCAGGAGATCCAGGTGCTTAAGGAGGAATGCCGGCGGAGGAAGAAGATGATCAGCACCCAGCAGATGATGCTGGAGGCACGAGCCAACTACCACCAGGTGAGAGGAGAGGGCCTGCTGGCCGAGTCACCCACACCTTGTCAGCTCTGAGCCTGCTGGGATGGGCAGCAGAGCAGCCCAGCTCTGCTGGGGTGCAGTTGCTTGCTGGGTGAAAGGCTGGAACTGCAAGGACCAGTGATCTTCCAAAAGGAAGTGCATTGCTGGCACTTGTTTTCTGTCTGTGTTTCAGAGACTCTTGGGAGAATGCTACATCATCTTTAACAAATCCTCTTTTTACTAACAGGTGCTCTTTACTCTTGGATTCGCTTTAGATGCATCTGAAATGTCAGATGCACACACATACAAAACCCGTGATAAACATGTTACTACTTTGTTGTGTTGCTGTCTTTCCTTGTCTGCCAACTGCATGGTCAGAAAACACACGGGGCAAATGCATCGGAACTGATGCTGAGCCATAATGCACTGTCTGTGAGAAGTCACTGTCCTGCACTGATGGTCTCCATGCACAAAGTTTCTGCTTGCATGTGTTACTCAGAGGTGACTCAGGCAAGATGGTAAAGAGCTTCAGGGAGTTAGCTCAGCTCTGATTCCAGAACAATCTGTTCCTAAAGGGTCTTCCTTAAGAACCTTAATACACAGCTGTTCTGACTGAGGCGTCATGGCACTCTGTTTTTATTGGGAGGGGCTTTTTGTCTCACTACAGTGTGGTAGTTTGCTCTAAGTGTTTTTCAGTGCCAGTATTTTCAGGTTTCAGGAATGCAAATTTTGGCTTCAACTGTAATCTGAAGTCTAAAGGGTAGACTGGACACAGACTTGACATGATTTCAGGCTAGCCCTGTATGTTTAAACTTACATGCAAAGTTGAATATTTAAGACATCAGCTAAGTTGGCTCAAGTGTTTCTGTAAGGGAAAAGATCCTTATGCCCCAAGAGTAGAACTATACATGAGGCAAGGTTCATGCATTCAGTTGTTATTCTCGAGGACAAGCTGCTGATATGGTATTATTTTAAAAAAAAACTTTATGCAACTCACAAAGCAGTTTGTCCTGTGTTGCAAAATATAAATGTGTCATTTTATGTGTAAACTTAAATAGTTCTCATACTGTGATTGCCAAATATTATCACATTTTCCAGAAATTTGCACCTGTCTCTGTGGAAGCTGAAAAGCATGGTAGTGAACTTGTCTCATTGCTAATCTGTTCAATGGCATTTGCAGAAAAACAGAGATTTCCCATTTGTAATTTGATTTCATATAAAGTAAACTTCTGATCTCTCCTCCCCCCTTTCAGTCTTCTGTTTCTTTTCACTAGAAGTTATTTAAGTTCACATGAGAAAAATGAGTTCAGGGAATGATGTTGAACAATACCCGAAGTTCCTGCAGTGTTTTCAGGATTCTGAGTTTGAATGCCAAAATAAATAAAACTCTTCCCAGTGTTTGCAAATGCAGGGTAGCAGTGTCATCAGTAAACAATTGCTCTGTGATATTTATCTTTGCCATGATCTTAGTTGCTAGATAATAGGAGCTCTTCTGGTGTTCCTGAGAGGGTAGTTCAGATTCCATCCTCTCAAAGTCTTGGATGTTTTGCAAATAAGCCTGTTTCTTGTTTACAAATAAGCCTTTTTTGGCAGAGGTGCACTTTACTAATGTAAACATTTTGGAATTCAGATGTAATGCCTTTAATCCAAGATCAATATAAGTGTGACCATAAACGCTACTATAAAATGGTATTGATACCTGCAAGTCATAAATTTAAGTCTTGTTGGTCAGTGCCTTCATGTGAGTAATACAAATTTAATTTTAAATAATATTTTTCACTTTTTTGATACTTTGTTCAGGAATCTTACATTCTCATGTACAGTGTGGGCATAAAGTGCATATTGTAGTTTATACTGAAAAGTAGTTGCAAGAAAAGCGTTGCATAATTCAAAACCTAAATATTCCCTATGTTAATCCTGTTTCCTGCAGTAAGAGCTTTCTTTCACTATCAGCAAGTCAAACTGACATGAAGTTTGTGCTTGACTGGATAACATTATTTCACAGCCAATTTAGTTCTGTAAATTGTGTGCAATCTGCTACACTGTAAGCTCCCATTTGGTTGGCAGTAATGCTTTGCTGCCATATTATATTACTTTATTTTGGTTTTATATTAGGTCTTGCATTTGCTCAGCAAAATTTGTCTTAATTATTTATGGTTTTAGTGTTGGCTGAAAAGTGTATTTTATAGGATACCCAACTACGAGTGGCAGCATTTTAAATGTAATATGAAATTTAAATATAGTACGAAATCTGGGAATCTCACATAATCACAGAATCATTTAGCTTGGAAAAGACCTCTGAGGTCATCAAGTCCAACCTTTGACTGATCAACATCTTGTCAACTAGACCATGGCACTAAGTGCAGTGTTCATTTATTTCTTGAACACCTCCAGGTGGTGACTCCACCACCTCCCTTGGCAGTCCATGCCAATGTTTAACCACCCTTTTAATGTAGAAATTCTTTCTGATGTCCATCCTGAACCTTCCCTGTCACAGCTTGAGGCTAAATCCTCTTGTCCTGTCATTTGTTGCTTGGGAGAAGAGGCTGACCCCTGTGTAATTGCATCCTCCTTTCAGGCACTTGTAAAGAGTGATAAGATCTGAGCCTCCTTTTCTGCAGGCTGAGCACCTCCAGCCCCCTCAGCTGTGCCTGGTAGGTCTTACCCTCCAGACCTTCACCAGTTCCATTGCCCTTCTCTGGACATGCTCCAGCAGCTCAATGTCCTTGTAGTGAGGGGCCCAGAACTTTACACAGGTTTTTAGGTATGGCCTCACCAAGGCTGAGTATAGAGTATCAGTGCTCTGGTCCTGCTGGCCACACTACTGCTGATACAAGCCAGGATGACACTGGCCTTCTTGGCCACCCGGGCACACACTGGCTCATGTTCAGCAGCTGTTGACCGACACCCTGAGGTCCTTTTCCACTGAGCAGCTTTATAGAGACTGCCCCAAGCCTGTAATGCTGGAGGGGGTTTTGTGGCTGAAGTGAAAGACCTGGTGCTTGGTCTTGCTGTACCCCATAAAGGTGGCCTCTGTCTGTCAATCTATCCTATCCAGATCCTTCTGCAGAGCATTCCTACCCTCCAGCAGATCAACATTCCTGTTCAATTGGTGTTGTCTGCAAATTTACCTAAGGTGCACTCAATTGCCTCATCCAAATCATCAATAAACATATTAAACTGGGCTGTTCCCAACACTGATCCCTGGGGACATGACAGTGACCAGATGCCAACTGGATGCAACATCACCACAATCTCTGGGCCTGGACATCCAGCTAGTTCTTAACCCAGAGAAGAGTGCACCTGTCCAAGCCATCAGCTGCCAGCTTTTCCAGGAGAATGCTGTGGTAGATGGTGCTGAAGACTTTGCTGAAGTCCAATAGGCAATATCCACAGCCTTTCCCTCATCCACTAGGGAGGTCACCTGGTAATAAAAGGATCAGGTTAGTCAGGCAGGACCTGCCTTTCCTAAAGCCCTGCTGGCTGGGTCTGATTGTTTGGTTGTCCTGTGTGATCATACTGAAGATGATCTGTTCCAGAACATTGCCAGGCAGCAAGGTTGGGCTGACAGGCCTGTAGCTCCCCAGATCCTCCTTCTGGCATTGATTATGGTGACAAGATCTTGAGCCTGTTAAGCTGGTTTCTTACTGTCATGTCACACTGATAAGTAAAAATTACTTTTTTGAGTGTCTGTGGTTTGTTAAAATGTATTTATTTGAAAAAAAAGTATGAGATAGAGGTAATGAATGACCCTAAAGTGATGAGGGGTCCTCATGCATAGTCTTAAAGTATGTTAAAAAGTTTGTAGATGCAGCTTCTGTCCTTGTACTACCCATCTATTTTTAATATATTCTGAACATTAGTAGAATGTATTTTGAAGGTGAACACAAAGGGTATTTTGAAAAGGGTGGGATTCAAATTTGACTTCAAATTTATATTCAAAACTAGTAGGTTAATTATAGAAACTGTAATTGAAAGAACTATGTGCTTCAGAAGGATTCTAGGCGGCATACTAATGTAGCTACATACCTTTTCTTACAAAACTGTGTACTGTTACTTTACTTTGTTTGAAATGTCTGAGTATTTTACATGTCCTTTGGGTATTGCCATCTTACAACTCATCTCAAACCCATCTTTACTGTTTTTTTCCAGCTGTGGGGTGCTGTACATTCTGGTATTGCATGAACCTTAAGAACACCTGAGCTACTAGTTGGCTGGAGTCTGTGTGTTGTGCTGAAGAGGGTTGTCACGCCTTTTCTTTATAGCTCTCTACCTACCATTATCTGTGGTTTATATCTGAATTTGAACTTGCTTGGCCAGAGTCTGTTCTATTCAGTTTGTACAGTGCCTACCACAATCAGATTCTTGCTTGTGACCATCACTGTGAAATGTTAAATAGCATTAATATAATAATGACTTTACAGTAATTGGGTACATGAGAATTTTTATTCTTATTCTTGTGAGATGCAACTTGTTAAAGTTACCTTCTTTTTACATATGAACAAAATGTAGTAACCTGTTAAAAACATTAACCACTGTATTTACCAAAAAGATGTTAGTAATGTGTTTTTAACTGTTTGGGGTTTTTTTTGTTGTTGTTTTTTTCTTTGTAGTGTCCATTTTGTGAAAAGGCTTTTATGACCTATTCCTTTTTACAAAGTCACATTCAAAGGCGTCACCCAGGAGAGTCTGAGATCGGTATGTACTTTAACGTTATAAAAAAAATTGAGAGAGGTGGTTTAGAAAAGTGTAAATACCGTGAGGATGTGCAGTCTGTGATTCTGTGTAATTTGGAAGAAAAGTTTTTACTTTTCATTTTTGAATCACAGATCCCAGTTTGTGTGAATGCAAGTGCCACTGACTGATACAAGGTATTGGGCAACATATGTTTCAGTCCCTGGAAAATAACTAACAAACCCCTGTGTGCCATATTTGCAGCATCTTTTCAAACTAGCATTTCTGTTGAATACTTTAGCCAGTAGCACATTTCAGAACACAGTTGCTCTTTAGGCATGTATGTTACGAAGGCGTGGGTGAAATGAACAAGCTGCTCTAAAATAAATTTTGTAAATATATAATTGTTAATACAGAAATAGTCCACCCCACCTGAAATCAGTTTGAATAGGATTAGGGTCTCCTGAGCCAAACTGACTGGAAAATGTAGTGAGAAAGAGAAACTGTTAAGAACAGTCTGACTTCATCTATCTATGGTACTCAAGGTTGCTTTACCTCTAACTTGCATACTTTTTTCTCTCTTCACTAAAAGATGTTTAGTTTGAAAAACACTGATCTCTAAGATTCTTTAATTCATAACTAATTTCTCTCCTTCCTGGTAGGCTGCATTCTTATGATTTATGGCTAAGGACTAACAAGTAGCAGTGATTAGAAACAAGTTAGGAAAAAAGGAGCATTTGGGAGGAGAAAAAGTGGGAAGAATCTAATGAGGTCTGAAGTGTAGCTTGTCAGGCAAATGAAACAACAGCAAGAGTGAGAGGGGTCTGAATAAGCAGCTGAGGAAGTGTGAACATATTGGAAGAAGAAAGAAGCTCTTGTGCACCTTACACTTGATAAAAATGATAATGTAAGATGCTGCAGAAACAGTTGAAATAATTGTTGTATAAAAGCCTGAAATGGCTCTCTGGGGAAAATATCCCATTCAGTTATTTTTGAAATTATATTCAGATTCACAGATGATGGTAAATAATTGGTAAATTAGCAAGTAAATAATTGGTAAATTGATGAAATGTTTCACAGTTGAAGATTGCTTTGATTTTTGCACATTTTAACATTTTTTGTTTGATATTCCCCCAATTCTTTCCACGTAAATAATTTGTTGTATTCCAACTGGACTCCTTACAGGAGTTTTTTAGAATAAACTTAAACTAAGAAATTGAATAACTGAGGTTCACTTTGTCCTTCATACATCTTTTTATGAGCCTGTGTTGCTTAGATCCCTTTGAAATTAGGTTATAGAATACTTTTTCATATAAATATTTCATAAACTATTTCACATGTCAGTGGTACAAGTATTTGAGGGTAAGTTAGCAGTCCAGAGAATATATGTATTTAAAAGCATCTATGGTGAATCATGGTAGTGGGAGGGCAAATGGTCTACTTTGTGAAAATGTTACTGAAACACTAGAAATGTATTTGCAGTAAGTATTACAGTCCTAGAAATTGCAACAAACCTTTTTTAAATCTGTGTTTCTTTCAAACAGAACAGAAGAAGAAAGGAAATATAGAAAAATTGCAGGATGAGATTGAAAAACTGAAGGAGCAGTTGCAGCTCACCAAGTCCAAGTTAGAGTTTGAGCAACAGGCTAATTTGGCCAGGTTGTCAAAGGTAAAACTTATTAAGTAATGTGAATGTCTCAAAAGAATTAGCACTTTGAACTGTGTTCACTCAGCCCACAAAAGTACTGGGTTTCACAAAGTGGAACACTTTCAAGATTCAGCTGGCCAAAGTCTGGGGGCACCTTGTCTAGTTTGTGCTGTTGTCAAGAAAGGCTGGACCAGATTATCCCAGAGGATAATCCACCCTGATAGTCTGTGATGGATGATTATTTTCTTCCTTGTTTTCAGAGGAAACCCTGATCTTCTGTAAAACATGGAGTGTTGTTTTCCATGAACTCAGCTTCAGACATCTCTTTCTTCAGTCCTTTTGTTCCCCCTTTCTTGGAAGTGTTCAGCTTCCATTTTTAAAAGTCCTGAATGACCAAATCAAAAGCTGGAAGCTTTTCACTTAGGAGTACAGGCACTGTCAGAATAATGGGTCTTAGCCCTGTGTGGACATGTGGAAGGTATTTTACTCATTCATTTTGTTCCTAGCTTTTGAAAAATACATCTATAACATATTTCTCCTGCCCCCAAAGCATTGTTTTGTTTATGAAGTGTAACTTAGAGTATTCATAACAGTGCAATGTAGATTTTTGGTGCCTTAGGGGCCTCTTTTGAAGTCACTTGTCTTAGCTAAGACTCCTAAATGCAAGGGAACTTCCTGAAATGTCCTGAAGCTATAGTCTGCAGTGTTACACAACAAGAAGCTTTCAAAACTTATGTTTTTCTGGGATGTCAGGGAAGATAGAAATGTGTGGTGTGACTGGTTACAGTTTGTCTGCCATGACTGACATCCACCGTCAATTCAGGAGTCACAATGTTACTATCTTTTGATTTAAAGAGCAGAAGATCTTGTCCTTAATTGAAGGATACAGATGATCCCATTCTTCCTAGTTGTACAATGATTGCATGTTAATAGTTAGAGAACAAATTCAGAGTGAATGCTGTGATGGAAAAATGTAGGTGTTTCCTAAAAGATATGTATGTCCTGGGAAGTGAAATGCAGGACTTTAAACAATTTGAGAACTACATAAAAATGCATTGTGATGTAGTGGAATGGTTGAAGTAATCTAATGGATGAAGTGGGGTAAATGTATAAGGGGATAAAATAGTTCTCATTTCATCTACGAAACAATGGGTTCTGAGCTGGGTGCTGTTACTGAAGGGCAAGATCTTAAGCTTGTGATATGTAGCCCTGGGGAAATGTTAAAAGCAGCTAGCAAAGAAAATCAAATATTACCAATTATTCTGAAAAATTACTGTGCAAACCACAGCCTAAATATGTTGTGTGAGTCTAGTCCCTTCATCTCAAAAAGGATAGGATAGAGCTATAAAAGTTATGGAGATGGGCTACAAAGTCAGTATTTAGAATGACTGAGCATGCTGAGAGTTGTCAGTCTGAAAAAGAGACAAACACTTGATGAAGATGGAGGGTGAGATAATGATAAGTGTGGAGTCATGAGATATACACAGTGAATAGTGATGAACCATTCTCTCTGTTCTCCAGTTCAGGCCTCAGAATCCATCAAATGTACCTAGCAGGAGCCAGATTCAAACAACTAAAACAAGAAAAGTTCTTGGCTCTTTATGCAGCTTATGGAGCTTGTTGGCAAAAGATATTGCAGTTGCTAAAGCTGATGCAGCCACAGGGCGATGACTGCAAAGTGTATGCGGAGAAATGTATTGAAGTTTATGCAGTTAATGAAGTTCACAGGACTGTATCAGGCTCCAGAAGTCCTCTGAGCTAAAAACAGCTGGCAACATAGACACTGTGAAGGAGAACATGCACGTTTGCTGGCCCCAGTATTAGCCTTTCTTACTTACACACTTAAGGCCTTAGTAAGAACAGGATACTGAAGTCAGTGAATCTTTGATATGACTGAGTAAGGTTGTTTGTGTGTTTTTCAGTGAAAAATAATAAACTGCTTGAACTGTTTTGAAGCATACTTGTTTAGCTTGTTTAGCAAAATATATAGTTTGCTACCCTAGAATTCTTAAAAAAACCTAGTGTTATGTTTTTTGATGTCACAGGATTTTGCAAATGTTGAAAGTGATTAATTCCACATGTAGTTTGGGAGCTTGAATTTCTATTGAACATGAGGAAAATAACATTTTTTTTTAAAATTTCAGGAATGCGAGCAGCAAAAATCAAAAGAAGAAGAGTTTCTACAATCATTTCATAAATGGAAAGAAGAGGAAAGAGAGAAATTTGCTGATCAAATAGAAAAAGTGAAAGATATGTTTACGAAAGAGCTTAAGGACTTACATTCAAGAAACTCAACTTTAGAAAATGTACGCAATTTAAATTTTTGAACATTTTAAAGCATGAATCCCTTACAGTAGATGGCAGTGAATTTCACATATTTGCAATGTAATTTAGTAATTGTAAAGCTTTTCCTACAGAACTCTTAAAAATAATGATTGAATGGTAGATATAATTATATTTTTGTGTACAGGTATTTTATTAATAAAACACACATAGATATAATATATATATATATAAGAATATAATATATCTAATTAATATAATTTCAGGTTGCGGGTTTTTTTAATTTAAAGAAATGCTTTGTATGAATCAATGATCCCTTCAGCAGTTATGTCAGTTTTTTCCTGTACTCCTCAGCCTTTGAATGCCTGTTTATAGGTCAGTAGATATAGTTGTGGCTGCTGCATGTTAGGAATCCTTATGTTAATATTTTCATAAGTGTTGTGGAGGTCACCAACCTCTGCATTGCAGTCCTGACAGAATTAATTTTTTTTCAATGCATGCTTTGGCAATGCTCACTAGCAAGAGAATCATAAAAGTATGGCGGGGTCAGAAATCAAATCTGCATGGCATTATCAGAGCAGCTTATATTTTGTAGCTGCTAGGTCCTGTGTACTTTTACAAGTCATATTTATTTTAGATGTAGATATTATTGATGATGTGAAATTTGATAAATACTGACCTCACATGAAATGGGAGAAGTATCTGATGCAATCTCTGCATAACTGTGTTTAAAGAAAATTTTGTATTCCTCCTCCCTCTTATTAGCAACTGTTAGAATTACAAAAGTCCAGTATGCAACAAAAATCCAATTTAGGAACACTGAAAGACAGCCATGAGTTTACAGAGGAGAAACCTCATCATCTTCGGGATCATCCATATGTGGTTAAACTTCTAGAAAAACAGGTAACACTGTAACTTAATGTATTGCTTTTGACAGGTTACTTGCTTTCTTTTTATTTTTCTTTATCTCTGAGTAGAGTATGAAATCCCTGAGTAAAATTTTCATTATTTTTAATGCCAAAAATAGCTGGTTTTAAAGATTTAATACTATTTAATACTATCCCTATAATGGCAAACAAGGATTTATTTTATCTTTTATAAATTAAGTAATTCTTGCTTATTTGTTGATATTCTCTTATTCTTTATGATTAAGTATATCTGTCTTTGCCAAGTGTGGTGGCAGTTCAATTCCAGAAGGCTCTAATAAAGTATTTATGTTTACTCATCCACGAGGACTTGCAGAAAAATTGGAATATTCCACTTCCCAAAAGGAAAAAGAAAATTAGGAAACTTTCTGACAGGATTTTCCAACCTGTGCCTTTTGTTTTCTTTCATGGTTTTTGGGATGTGAAGGTCTTTGTTTACTGCTGGTGTTTTACAGAAGTTTGATCACCTCTATGCAGAGATGTGCAAAACTTAGTTTTGCTTTATGTTTTGGTTTTTTTTTTTTATTTCATCAAAGAAAATTGGCTTCACTGTAAAACTCATATGCTAATTCTGTCATTATTATGCGAAATACATTGTTAATGAGCACTGAAAATTACATTCTTTAGAGGGAAAACTCCCTATTCTTAATACTCTTTTTGTTAATACACAGAGATGTATCAAAATGCTTGTGTATTTCTCACTCACTTTGACTGCATATACAAATCAGAGAGAAAATACAGTCCTGGAGTGATTGGTAAGATAACCACACTCAGATGTATAAATCAGCTGTTCTAGGCATTAAATACTGGGTTACTCAAATTTTATCAAATCTGTCATGTTTCTGGTATTTATGCTTTATTTAGAAAAATGAAGCTGTATGTATCAAACTAAATGCTCATTTGCTCTTAACAAGAAACAAAGCTGCATGTATCAAACTGAATGTGTTGTTAACAAGAATTAACATGGATTTCCTCTATGCAGGAAAAAAAGTGGGTGTCTTGTATGCAAGCCAAGTGTCATGACCATGAGACAGAAACCTCCATGGTAAGTGGCACAGGAGACCACTTACACCTAAAGGAGACTTTTTTTTTTTAACTTACTCTTTCAGTAGTTCTTGATATGCTCTAGTACGTCTGCCAGATATCAAGAGTTTATAAGGGTGTGTCCTCTTAGCTGTATTTAGTGTCTGTGTTTCTGTTATGGTAGGATCCTGGTGTTTCAGTTAAGGCCAGGGTTGAAAATTAATTTATAATTTCAGAATCTGCCAGAAAACTGAAACTGTATCTGTCTTTTGAAGAGCTTACAGCTGGTTCTGTGAGCACAGTATTATACAGTATTTTCAATGTTATGTTCCTGAATAGTTGACATATGACTTGCCAACATGTAGCTTTCATCCACCCTGTACCTGCTGCTACCATGGACCTATGGCGTATGTCTCAGTCTTTTTTTTCTCCTTCCTATCACTTCTCTATTGCTTTTTCTGTTGTAGCTTTCTAATGCAGAATCTGTTCAGCTTTTCCAGGAGAAAACACCATGGGATTTTATTTTGCATCAGTTTATGTATTTTACTATACAAAGCCTTATTCCTCAGATTTCTTTTTACATCTGCATTTCTTTTTAATCTCTTTGCTGCTTTGTTTCTCTTGCTTCTTTTCCTTTCATTTTCTTTTCATCTGCGTGACCATGTAAGAACTGAGCAGATCATAGTGGTTTGACCAATGCTTCTCCTCCTCTGGCAAGAAAACATTGGGGATGAACCATGGAACAGTCCCCAAAAAGGATGTAGTTAAAGATACACCCACATACAGTGCAAGAATAGAATAAGGGAGAAGTAATGTAAGTATTACTTTTGGGATGGTGTACCTAAATAATGTTTCCTTTCTTCCACATTTGGAGGTAATATACTAGGTTTATTATACAAATTAATGTATCACCTTCTTAAAGTATCATTGCTGGACACTGTTTATAATTAAAACATTTTTATAGATCTATACACTTTTTCCTGCTGTCTTATTTTTAGGTACTCTCAGCAATGTGTTTGTATGTGCTTTTCTTTATATTGAGATTTAAGTAGTCTTCCTTGTGTAATTCAAAAGTGATCCAGACAACTGTTCTATGATACGTACAAGTCCTAGTGAAGTCACAGAAGACATCAGGTTTTTGCTGAGAAAAAAAAAATGTGAAAAGTATCTAAGCATGACACTTGCTTGTTTAGACTTTATAACATTAAAATATTTTGTATAGTTTTAATATGATGTTACTTTTCTTTTGATTGCTTTCTAGCTACGGTCAGAGGTTGAGAACACCAAAACATCAGCGAGGGAAGACCTGAACAGAAATAACATCTTTTACAGGAAGAGGATAGAAGAATTGGAGAAGAGGCTTCAGGAGCAGAATGATCTGATTATTAGTCAGAGGAAGCAGGTCTGTTCTGTGAAACGCTCTGTTTCAGAAAGCACAGGACACACAGGAACACAATGTTTTTTTTCTCCTTCCTATCACTTCTCTATTGCTTTTTCTGTTGTAGCTTTCTAATGCAGAATCTGTTCAGCTTTTCCAGGAGAAAACACCATGGGATTTTATTTTGCATCAGTTTATGTATTTTCATTTGGGTTTTGATGGTTCTCTGACTGCATATTCAATATTCGCAGTTTGTAATAGTATTGCTGGAGTGTTTTGGTTACACTTTGAAAATTGTATTGATAAATAAGAATAGATCTGGAAAAGAGACACAGGAATGTACCAGGAATTAAAACACATTTGATAAAGAAATGCTTAATAAACCAAAAATTTTTTGATGGTGAAAAGGATTTAATCGTAATGGAATCTAGTATTTGAAATAAACCAAAAAATTTTTGATGGTGAAAAGGATTTAATCGTAACGGGATCTAGTATTTGAAATCTGAAAATACATTACTTCTCACACTAAAGTATCATATTCATTACTGTGAGAATAATTATTTAAAATATTACCATGTGAAATGTAACAAGACCAAGTGTCAGATTCTCCACCTGAGATAGGGTAACCCTGGTTATATCCACGTATTGGGGAACAAGAGGCCGGAGAGAAGCCCTGCAGAAAGAGATCTGGGAGTTTGAGATGATGTCAAGTTGAATGTGAGTCAGCAGTGCCCTGGCAGCCATGAGGGCCAGCCATGTCTTGGGATGCATCAGGCACAGCATCATCAGCTGATTGAGGGAGGGGATTGTCCTGCTCTGCTCTGTGCTGGTGTTGCCTCACCTCAAGTCCTGTGTGCAGTTTCGGGTGCTTCTGTATAAGAAGGGCATCAGACTATTTCAGCACATCCAGAGGAGAGCAAGCAAGATGATCAAAGGTCTTGAGGGCATTTTAGGAGGAGCACCTGTTGTTACTTGGCTTGTTCAGCTTGGAGAAGAGAAGGCTGAGAGGTGATCTCATCACAGCCTCAAGGGGGGCAGTGGAGGAGGAGATTTTGATCTCTCTGGTGATCAGTGATAGGACACAAGGAAATGGAATGAAGCTGGGGAGGTTCAGATTGGGCATTAGGAAAGGGTTCTTCACCCTGAGGGTGGTCGGGCACTGGAACAGGCTCCCCAGGGAAATGATCATGGCACTAAGCCTGTCAGAGCTTTTGGAGTGTCTGGACAATGCTCTTAGGTTTAAGTTTTAGGTAGTCCAATGAGGGAATTGGACTTGATCCTTGTAGGTCCCGTCCAGCGTGAGATAGTCTATGATTCTGTGTTTGGAAATGAATTAGTTTTGCCTAAAATAAGGTTTTGTTGAAACATAACTATGGATTTTTAGAGGTGATTGGTGGGGGAAGATCTGGGTAGTCTGGAGTTTAGAATATGGCATGATTATGTGGCCTATTCCTCTATTAGATTGTGCATTCTTTGTAAATCTGATTTTACGCATTTTGCTTGAGATTCATGTTAAACCTATACTTGAATGCTTAAAGAATGGAAAGACAAATAATAGCTTTTACATCACCAGCTTCACAAATTTTATAGCTGGAGAAATGGAGGGCAAGCATAGATGAATTTCCTTCAATAAAGTGACCTTTGGAAAGATAACAGTATGACCACAGATTTATAATAGGTTCAGAGGAGTCCAGGTTTGGTGTTTGTGAAATAGAGTTGTGCAGATCTACATTCTCAGTCCCTGGAAAATAGAAGAGCTTGAAAAATAGCTAACACTTTCACAGAATCCAAGCTTAATGGACAATGAATAGAGGCACTACTGGCTATAACCAAACTGATAAATAAAAGAGGATCAGGGTCCAGTATCTTGTGCCAGCTCCATCTGACAGTGGCTATGTGTTTGAATGAATTGTGTTCATCTCTTTGGGGAATTGGAGTGCAGAACATTGTTTTAGTGATATGGATTCACAAGTTTCCTTTTTTCTTTAGATCACATTACAGACAGCATGTTTCCATTACTCTTTTAGTTCAGTGCTTGTCCTGGGGTGTCAAATAGATAAACCTGTAAAGCAGAGAGGAGAACTGTTCATGCATTTAAAATCAATGTGTAATTAAACACTCCAGTGTTGCCCTGTGGTAGAAGCCAGGCTTGCAAAATGTATGAATTGCTGAGGAGGAAAGTATTGAAACTCTTAAGTGCTGAAGTGGCCCCTAAGTCTGCTTTCATTTGACTTTATAACTTGCAATAACAGGATGTACAAAGCATGAGTGCACATTAAGACAACACAAAAACATTAATTAAGCATGAACAAAATATATATTGGGCACAGAAGTAGTATTTTTCTCCCCAAACCATAACCAATAATTTCTCTTATGGAATAGTACTGAATCTAGGTATTTCATGCTAAATGTTCATTCACATATCACATTCAATATTGATGGTTTTCATTTATATCTATTCTTTTCTCCTTTAGATAAGAGAATTGTCTGTGAAACCGGCTCCAAGTGTTAAAACATATGATGGTGAGTACAAACTGTAAGAAAAAACAGACTTAGTTTCTGATTTCTGCAGCCTGACTGAAACAAATGTAGACATCAACTTGACTAACAAAATACTGAAATAAAATCAGTACTGGAAATGTATTTGTTTTTCATAGTGTACCTACTTGTTTCCATGCCACAATTTACAAAGATCGTGCTTTGTAGCTGTAAAGACTCCTAATGTACAAAGTTGATTGCTTGAGTAGTGAAAAGATGTGAAATAGAACAACTGTATTTTGTATTATGTAAAAAACTTCTAAATTTGCTTTATGAAGTACAATTTTAATTGATTTTTTTTGTGCTTGACTGTCCTTAGGCTGCAGAACTCACAAAAGGGCAAATACTGAAAGAAAAGACAAAACTGATTAACTTGTCAGTTAAGACACAGATGTTCAAAGAATGTTAAGAACTCTTATATTTTTGTCTGTGCAATACTTTAACATCTGAAGTCTATTACAAATAGCTAAACCTGATAACAGTGTTTCAGGATATACAAACACCCATATAGTTAATGCTGCAGTTGCAGTGACTTGAAGTAAGTTTGTTGCAATAGGTGATGACTGATGAATTAATTCTGATCCCAGTCTGGAAACCATTTTGCTGTATTAACAAGACACTGGCTTGAACTGAGTCAAAGAGCAGGGAGTAGGTTTAGGTTGAGGAAGGCCTAGTAAGAGCATGGCCATGTGGCTTTTCAGGTGCAGCTGGTCAGATTCATTCACACTGAAGCACAGACAAGTAAACGTCCATGGCACACAGGCAGATTTGCTCTTAGCCTCAAGCTGATCTGAGGGATGTAGGATTGAAGTGCTAATTCACTCCAAGGCTACACCCTATACATGATCTGTAGATGTATGAGTGTTTGTACTCATTGATGTCACTTGTGGATGCTGCAGATCCTCTCTGGGGAATACAAGCCCTGGTCAGGCTGGTCTTGACTAAGTAGCTTTGAGCCAAGACTTCTTCCCAGTGACACAAAGGCAGCATGCACTCATGGCCAAAAAAATGATCACATTCTAGTCCAGTGATGTTTTAGTTAGTAAATTCTTTTCCTGATTCTAGAAATGTTAAAATGCTAAGCATACATAGAGATGTACTTTTATGTTGTGAAGGAACGGTTTTTACTTTGTAATTGTTTTGTTTATTTTTTTGTGCATTAATGTAAAAAAACAACTGATTTGTAAATATGATTAAATATTGCTATATTTAAGAATCTCTATTTGTCTGCTACTGTTTACAATAGTACAACTTTATTAATTTTTTTACTATTATGTTATTTTAGTGAACACTCCTGTAGAGCGTCTTCTAGAACCTAAACCAAGTCCATCAGTTCCCCCACCTGGTAAGTTTTTTTGATAGGTCCAGATCCAGTACTTTCAAATCTAACCCCTGCTCTTTTCAGATATGTGGCTTGTCAAATCATAGGTCTAAGAGTAGTTATATTGAAAGAACATAATTTCTATGTCAGAGTTGAGAACTTCTATGAAATAATTATAAGGATGCACTACTGAGAAGAATAAATGAAAAACAAATTAAAATAATCTGAGAACATTTCCTAGAAGAGTTATATTATTGAATCACTTAGATTAAATTTATTGAGGAACAAATTTGTGTTTTCTGATGGAAAATATGCTTATACTGGATAGGTACATGCATCTGCTGGAATTTGTATCGGGAAATGTGGAGATGTTTGTTTGGAAGTCTTGAAATACTGTATTTTCCATGTGACTTCAAATGGCAAGGAGTAAAAATACAGAAGAAATAATCAAAATAGACAGTTATCCTGTCCTAGTTATTCCAGAGTATACCTGTGGTTACATATAGGTCATTATTTAGGTATTTTAACTTGTGGCACTGTGGTATCCTTTAGAAGGGGAGGGGGGCAAGGGAGCTATATTTACCTTGTTTTGTACTTTGTGAAAATAGTCTGGTTTTTTAATCAGAATGCAAATTAATTGAGAGTTTTGTTACTATGCCAATATTCTGTGATCAACTAATTCTTTATTTTCCTTTTAAGTGATGAAAAAGGAGCAAGCAAAATGTTTAAAAACAGTTGATTGATTTGAATTATAGTTGAATAATGCTTTTTTTCTAATTATTTCTCTTAGTTTTTAAGCCTGCCACAGGGAGACTAAATGGAATTTGTCTGTGAAAAATGTAGATAATTTTTTCTTTTTCATCAAATACAAAAAGTTCTGAAAATGCCTCTGTGGAGAAAGGGCATTATGTATCAAGCTTTCGATAACTTGATGAGGAATGCAAAACTCATGTAGTGCTCATTTTCAACTGTGTGTTATGACAAGAATTAGTTAAAAAAGGAAAACTGATTGTATTATTGCTAATTATTCTGTGGCAACATTATTTGAATAATACAGAGATTTCTTTCTAAACTATGCAAGGTTTAGTAGTTCATTGCTGGTAGCTTCCTAAGTTAAACTATATGGATGAATATTGTGTAGACAACATAATAGTATATGAAGTATAGAGAATAAGGAATAGCATTTTGAACAATTAATTCTTTTTCATTTAAGCCAACCTCATTACACCAAAACAGTAGTTCTGGTTCTGACTAAGAAGTCTCACAGCATGTAGTTTAGCAATTGCCCTGAATTTAAATTTTATGGAGGTTATTGCTGCTAAGGACTTACCCACCAAGTTTGTCAAGCATTACTTCCTTTGTGCATTTGCTTTCATTTGTACTGAGCACAGTTCCTGAGAAACAGTCCTGTGAACATTAATATTTTTTGTACTCTGACAATTCAAATCAGCTCATTCAGAACTTTCATATTTTCTTGCTGCTTCAAATATGAAGTTTGTTACATCTTGTGAAACTTCTCAAGATAGAAAAGGCTATTCCTGCCATTGATACACAAAAGATTCACCATCAGTTTATTATGAAACCTCAAAGAAGGTGTTCCTTTCAGATTCCTTTGCTGATTACTATTTTATTTATCTCTGCAGGTCTCTCTGTCTGTCCCCTTTCTTACCTTCTGGATTGTTTTTTAAATTTGCCTTACCTAATTTTCTGGAGGTTAGCAGAAGTTATGGTGTCTTTCCCGAAGTTTTCAGGACTCCTCAAGGGATTGACTTACTGAATTAAGACATCATGGCTGCATCTCATGCCTTTATGAAAAGGAAAGCACTTCCTGGTAACTTCTGTAGACAAATTTATTTAGCACAGATCATCTTATAACTGCCTGCATATAAAATATCTTCATTTTTTAAAAAATTAATTCTAGAAAAGGCTCTCTGATGTGAAGTATACTTTTCAAAGCCACTCAGATGCTTTTGCATCCTAGTATTAGCTCTGCACTTCTTAAATTTGTGTTATGAAAAGATAGCCAAGTTGCAAATGTGAGCTATCCTAGGTGGAAAGTAGGAGAATGGCTATGTTAGTCTGGTGTTTATGTGTTAATATTCCTGACTTCTTGTAAAAGCTAGTAGAGCTCCTTGAATGCCATCCTGGCAGAACATTCTTCTATCCGTTTCTGAGCTACCTGTAGGATTTTGTGCGGATATAACTTAGGTCTTATTTTCAGAGATTACTTCAGTCTCACAAAAAAGGCAACAGAATAATTACAATTTATTTTTTAAAATAATGTTTTTAAATTAGGCTTTGATTTCTATATTACTCTAGAAATGTTGGTACTTGTTCAATATTTAGTCTTTGTTAGGTCAATAATATTAGGTGGAATTGAAGACAGTAGTTAAAAAGCAAAACTACCAATTAGATTGTTCACAAAAACTTGTGTCTCAGTCTACAAACATGGTGTGGACACCAAGGCCCTGCTATCTCTAGGGACATAGCTGAAGCATTTCACAGTTTGGTTCAGCTGAACTAAGATCTGAATGCTCTTTGAAGTTGCCTGTGTCCCTTCAATGACTGTAGAAGGAGTCTGAGGTGACTGGGTTCCTAACTTAGGGGCCTCAGGTAAGTGTAAAAAAAATTACAGTTAGGAATACTGGTTTAAAATTAATATTTCTGCTGCTTATGTAAAGTATGTGGCTTTCTATTGATCAGTTAGGAGAAAAAATATACAGAGTACATTAATTGAAAAACAACAATCCAAATTACAGGTGTTACAGATTAGGTCTGGCAGCTATTTGTATGTGTAATTAGAGTATAAATTAAAGGAGCATGAAATAAGTGTAGCCACGACTTACATTTTTCATATTTTTCTAGGTTGTTACATTGCAAGTGCAAAGTGCTTACTGTAGATGACGCTACACCATAGATAATTTTATTGCTTCTGTTCAGGCTAAAAGTTTTTTAGCATTTCATATTTCAAGATAAATAGATGGGATTTCTTCTTTAAATGTGGGTCAGAAGACTACTTCTCCAATAGTACTGCCAAAATATTTTTAACTTGTAGATAAGAGCAGACAAATACTATATGATATGCATGAAATATACACAGCCTGCATCCTTCATTATTGTTAAATATATTTTCCTGTTCCACCTGCGTATAAATTGTCTTCAAATACTCTTTAAAACAGGTATTTAATTGTTTCTTAAAGTATGCTGGGCATATAATTTTTCAGCTGTATAATTATCCACTAAGAAATTAAGGTAACCTGTACTTTTGATACATCTCATCTGTGTCTCCACACATACTAGCTGGCAGAAGAGATACTCTGGAAGATATGAGATGATAGAAACACCTCTGCTGGCCTTAATGATGGCTAGAATTAATATTTGATGATCAGATGGCCAGAAGAAGCACATCTCTGGTAAACATAAGGAGAGGACTCCTTAAGGGGGGGGTCATCTCCACACCTGCCTGTAAACCAGAGTAATGGTTTTTCTTAAATATGATTCCATTGTGATGTTTAATAGATAACTCTTAGAATATGTGTACAGTGAAGAGAAAGAAAAGGCTTGTTTACGTAAGGGCAGTTGGTGTTCTGAGATGTCTCACTCCCTCCTGCCTTAGCACTTGATCTCTTCTGTTAACACGCAGTGAACAGTATTACACATAACAGTAATGCATTTTGGGTCTGCTCTCACAACTGTTCTTAGGAATTCCTGGTTTTTCATTTCCTCTGTTTCTGGTACACTGAGGAAGAGAAGCATATACCTTTATGCCTGATCAGCAGACCATTTTCAGGTCTGAGTTCTGGGGAACTGGGATTTTCCTATTGCATTAAGTCACTTGGCAAGGGCTTGTGCAGAGTTGAGTCGGCCCCTTTGAGCAGAGAGCATTTGAGTAAAGTGCAGGTAAAACAAGCATAGATTAAATCCAAATACACAGCAACTGTCTTACTGATTGGTAAGTCCAGCCAAGAAACTCAGAGGCCTCAGTGCCCATGCAGCTTAATTAAATCTTCCTAGAACATTTCATCTGTGCTTCAGGCTCTGTCCTTCTAAACAGACACATTTCAGGCTTTTGGGAATGATTCCAAACTGTGTCTGAACATGTTTTGGAGGATCTTAGTTGGTGAAGGGCAGCAGTGTGCCAGGAGCAGTAGTGTAGAGGATCATGTTCCAGTGTCCAGGAATGCTCTGGCCACTGGTAAATTTTACAGCCTTAGAGATTGAAAGATCAGAAGCTCATTTATCTCTCAGAGTTTTGCTTTTAAATGTTTTCCTAAGATATCTTGGTATTTACATCTTGTTAATGACTTGTGATGGTACAAGAAGTATTTTTTTAAAACTTCTTATTTAGTGCAAGTTCTGTGGGAGCAAATCTTAAGTCTAGTAATTGGCTTGGAAAAGCAGGTGAGAAGCTGAATATTACCACCACAGGCATGGAGAGACCACCTCCCATACCCAAGCATGCTGAATATTATCACCACAGGCATGGAAAGCATGGAGAGACCACCTCCCATACCCAAGCATTTATGGCATCAGATTTAATCCGCTTTACTTGGGGAGTATTGGAGATGCGGCAGTGACGCTTAGCCCCAAATGCTCATTTCACTGAGATTACCTGTCACAGTGCATCCATGTTTGTACCTGGTGTACAAGAAATGCCAAAGAACATCTTCATGCAGCATCACTCCTCCCCTTCTACCCACAGAGCATAACAACCATTTAGAGTGCAGAGGTTTTTTTGTGAAGGATGGGAAAATGCATGTAGGCCCAAAATATTGACCAATAAATCGTTTTCTCTTATAATGCCTGTAGTTGAATGCTGAAAGTACAGTTCGCACACCTGTTTTTATTGTAAACCCTACAAGACACTCAAGCTCTAGTTTTTCTTGATAGCAATTAATTTGTAGAAGGTGAATGTTAACATTTTAAAAACCTGAATTGATCTACATATAATAATTTTCAAGCGTGTCTTAAAAGTTTATAAAGTTGTAAATAAGCTGTAGTCTGACTTTATTTTTTGTGAAGCAAATTGTACCTGATAGCCTATAGAATGATAAATTCAGTGTATTTAGGAAGCTGTTGCAGCACAGACATTTCAATAATTCTTTAAAACACATGATAATACTGAATCTTACTCAATTGAAGTGCTTGAAGATTTTTTAAATTGGTTTGTTGGGAATTATCTCATATATATATATATAAATACATATATATACACACGTGTTAAATCTCTGTCTTGCACATATGGACTCAGTACTTAATAACTCTCTGGAATAGTAAGTTCATATATTTTTCCATATATTTTTGCGGTTTACTTTGTCCATTTCACTTGTCTTTTTTAAACTTTTAGTATAAAATTGGACATAAATAATATTTTTAAATGCATCTTTAAAAATTTCTTCTTATGAGAAATGAACATCAATATTGATTTATGTAATCCTGGGTGGCCCTGTCATTGTAGATGTCTAAAACTACTCTACCTGGCCTACCTGGTGCCATTCCAGAAGTTGTGTGGTGTATCTGTCAACCTTGCACTGATGGCTTAAAACTCTGATATATCTGGGATGACACCATATCCCTGTGTTTGGCCAGCAGAATCACTCCTGAAGTGACTATTGTATTAGGGTCTCGTCTACAAAAATGTACCCCCAAGGCAGTGAAGAGTCATCTTGCAGTGGGTTTGTGATGGTTAAGCAGGTTGTCAGCAATCAAGCAAGTTGATATCAGTGTGGTGGTTTTTTTTCTGACTTTCCCTCTTTGGACCTTGACCTTTTTCTGTCCTTTTTGTCTGGTGTTCCTATTCTTCCTCATTGTTAGAGCAGGCACCCTTGGTGCATATGCTGGAGCCCATAGAGGAGCTTTCAGAAGAGGAAAAAGGTAATGATTAATTCAGCTCAAAATATGCTGGCATGTGTTTCTTGAAAAGAAAAAATATTACTTGATACCTGCAGTATTTTTCATTGTATTTCATTATATTTATGTGATTTGGGTGGGAATATTGCTTGTGTCAGTTTGCTATTGCTTATAAATATTATGATTTCCTTATCCAAGTTCAATGTTTTTATGAAAATCTGACTAATTTCTTTAAAGCAGTCACATTCCATATGTCTAAAGGGACTTGAACTAAGCAGAGCAAAAATGATGGGGAAAAGCCCCTGACTAGGAGATTTTTGTTGCTGACACTATTGCAATATGAGCTCACTCCCTTTTTAAACTCTGCATAAGAGGATAAAGAGTTCAGGTGGAAGGAAGTTCATGGTGGAGGTTGGAGTTGTCAGCTTTCATGAATGCATCACAGATACTTTTACAAGTAACCTGACTTGCACCTGCCCATAATGAGCCACAACTCCTGCCAGGGTTGTGCAATTCAGAATAAAATTGCATAGCCCAGCATCGGCAGCTGTTGTGCCTCTTCTGAGGACATCTTGGAGAAGGCCACATTTATAATGACAGAACAGAAAGCACTGGTTCATCCTGCATGGAGTTCTTCTCCTGAGGGCAGCTAATAGTACCTTAGGTGAGACACCAAATAAAAATCTCTTCTGTGTGTGAAAATCAAAATCAGTCTTGAACCCTACAGCCAGTGAGTTTAAATTTCAAAGGAATGATGCTGTTTTGAAAACAAAATCATTGTTTGAATACGTCTGTGTGTTGGGAGGTTTCCCCAGGGAAAATCCAGTGACTGAACAATCTGAAATAAAGACTGTTTGCATTTTTGCCGTTCCTTCTGCTGTTTCTCTTGCTTGCCATCTTCTCTCTTGATGGATTGTCTTTGTTTCTTCTGCTGTGCCTAAAGGCATGGCCTGAAGTGCAGAAGAGAAAAACAAAGAATGCAGTCTGAAAAGATAGACCAAGATTTTTTTGGTTTTGATGACAGTCATTTGTAAGGGAGAGTGTGAAAATTCTTGACTCAGAACATAATTTTCTAGGATTATGTAGGAGCTGAGACAGTGGACGAGTTGTAAGGTCCCTTGTCTCAAAAGTTAAATCTAGTATTTGGGAATAAATAAGCAAACAGTTCCTTAAATAATTGCTCTGGCAAAGAGGATTTGGCTTGAGTTAATTAGCAAGAATTAGTATCGTCATTAATTAGGATAATGCTGGATAGTCTTGTTACCCTTATTAGTATTTAGTAATTAGGAGTTTTAAAATTAGTTTAAATGTATCTATTTTATTGTAAGGATTAACATTGGAAAGAGATAGGATTTTCAGAAGGCACCTGGGAGCCTTCCATTTTAAAATGTCTCATATATGGCTTTCTGGGAGGATTTTGTACTGCATAATGCCATCGTGTCCTGAATGGGGATAGTCAGATAGCCCTGTGTTTCCTCAGGACCAATTGTTTGACTCTTCTAGGACTCAGTTCTCCAGATAAATCAGTTTTAATGTCATCTCTGTCAGGGACTGAGTTGTCCACACAGTTCCCAAAACCAGGTGAGATTTCAGCCTGATTATGTCCTCTTCAACACAGATCTAATAGTATGGCAGATGGACTCTCAGTTTTCATTACCTATAGTTCTTCCCAGGACCCCATGGGAAGGCGGTTTCTCAAAACTGCCTAATATGTCATTTGTGCATCTTGAGGCTTTTTGTCTCCTCTTTAGGGTGCTTGTCTTTCCCTTAAAGAAAAATGAAAAGTAAATGGAACTGCTTTCTAATAAGCTGTCGTTGTTTACAAGTAGAAAAAGTGGCACGTTTGTTTAAAAATATAATATTTGAAAGTCACAATATGGAATTATGCCTTCATTCCTGTCCTTGTCTATTGGGTGGCAGATGACTTTGCTGCCCTGTAAGGCATACTGGGAAGAGACAAACCCCTGCCCAAGATTTTCCTGTTACTTCAGGGGAGTTGGGAGTGTGGTTTACAGCATGCTTTCCTGGAATGTTTTAAACCCTTTGCCAGGTTTGCTGACCACTTCCAGAGAGAAGCAGCCATCATGGTTCCACAGGTTATAGCTTCATTTACTTTAAGTGGCATTCAGTAAAATTTTGTCTTGCCAGTGACAGTTTACAGACAGGTTCTAAATGGATGTGTTTTGTTTCTTTACTTTCCTGTAATGACCCAACAATACTTTGGCCTAATTTAAATGTCAGTCTTCATTTTAGATGGAGGAATCTGTCTAGATGGTTCTTTATTGCTTGCATAGGAGTTTTTTATTGACATAAGTGCCATTGTTGACACTTAAAGCAAGGGGAAAAGATATGAACTTCTTTGTCTGCTTTTAAGTATTTATGACGTCGCAGACTTGCATAGAAGAAAACAGGACACTGAACTTTGTCCTTGAAAGATTTTTGAAGATGGCTATTATCCATCATGTATTTTCTGTGAAACAGTCTGCCCCAAACAAGGTTTTGTCTTTACCAAGACTTATGAAAGTCTTGGTAAACTTTGTTTATAACTTTGCAAAGTTATAACTTTGCAAAGATTTCAGTAGGTGATTTTATCAGAGAATATCATTTTGCTCCAAGATTTTCTTAAGAAAAAGTTTGTAGTATTCTTGTTCTGATTCCTGCTAGAATTCAGCTTTTCTTTGAAATACCACATTTAGAGAACTTAAGTATCGGAAGATAGTCTTTCTTTATCAGAAGTTTTCAAGTACAATGATAAAAGTAAAGATCTTTGTTGCCAAATATTCAGCGCAGTATCTTTACAGCGATTCTGTAATGAGCAGTAAGATACTTGTGATGGTGAGTACAAGGTGCTGAGGTACAGATTCCAAGTGAACTGGCTTTTGTGAGCTAGCCCAGTATTTTGAAAATTACACAATTCCATGTAGATAAAAAGTGCACCAATATGTTTATGCTGTTTCTAAAGAATGCATGCTTCAGTGCAGTTTTTAATTGTCTCATATTATGTGGATTTTAAAAATATCTCTTAACAGCATTTTTCCTTCTTATTTTAGAAACTGAGAAAATTGATTTAAAACCAGACAGAAGTAAGCACTATTTAATAAATGCTCTGAAGTCTGATCCTTCTTTAACTAAAGAATTGCGAGTTGTTTTGGAGCAAGCTCTGGAGGAGAAGCTGGAATCCTTGGGAATTAAAGCAGTAAGATATTGAATTATTTAAAATAAGGGTAATGTTTGTATCACTTTTCTTGTGTTCTCTTTCACTCCTGTACTACAGTTCTCAACCTATAAAATCCAAAGCTAAATTTCCATGTTTTAAATAACTGTAATTCCTTAACCAGTAATCTTTGAGGGGATGGCCATCAAATTACAGCTGTGGCGGATATGGTTACACTTGTGAGCAATGTTACCAACTTCTGTGATTTTTCTACAAGCTTTGTGATGTCTGAAGTTTAAAAGAGAGTTTACAATACGATTTGTTTCCTTAGGGTGTTCGTGGAATATCAAGTGATCGCTTAAATAAAATTTTGCGAGCCATTGAATATGCCAGAGAACGCAAAGGGAGGCAAGAGCCCGCCATTCACGGAATTCGAGAGCGCCTTGAACGTCAAGTTGGCCTTCGGGTTGAAGAGAAATCATTATCCTCTAGCAGAGCTGATTCCTGTGCTCAGCTTCCTGGTGAAGGTTACAGTGGATTTTGGGGCTTATTTCATTATTTCATTGTCTTACATTCTAAAACTACTGTTTAAAGTTTTATTTGATGACATTTCTATATAGCTGCTTTCCTGCTTTTCCATATCAATATTCTATATAGTTATGGATAACTAAACTGTTTTCTTTAAAGGGTTCTTGACATGGTGTTTAACAGCAAATATCTTAGCTCTGGCAAGATACACAGTGTTGTGTTGGAAGTGTAGCACTTTGGCAGCAAATTAACCCCCTTGCTTTCCAGCTGGTCCTTACAGATCTGAAGGGCTGAGTATGGCTGCGCTTAATTTCTGATTTTAATCAACTCAGCACTGTGAGTCTGGTCATGTTCCCAGGTGCATCAGTAGTGTGGGTCACAGTGTCTGAGTCTGGTCTCGTTTTGTGATCCCAGATTCACCAACAGTGACACCTTAGCCTCAGTCCCTCTTCCCTGGCTGAATGCAGTGATAAGGGTCATCCAGCCTCTGCTTGGATGCCTCAGCATGCCATCATGGCCACATAATCCCTTAGCTACACATCTCATGGCATATCTCATGGAAGTCTCTTGAACATATATCTCATTGCCGTAGGCCTCGTTCCTACATTATCCACTCTGACTACAGTCACACCTTCAGTTTGGTGCCCCTATCACACCTGTTTAATGGATTTTTGAGGAGTCTCTATAGAGCAATTGCTCATACCTCTCCCCTTCATCCTTCATTATATCACACCCAGACCATATATGTTTCTGACTGATTATTATCCAGATTTTTATGTACATGTCTATGATAAAAGCAAAACATATTGCAGTCAGGATTAACATAGCAACAACATGATGAAGTAGTTTATTGAAAATTCTTCTAGCTGTGAGTGACCATCTGAAGGGGGAGTCTGACCACTGATGCTGTCCAGCTTCTTACTGTATTCTTAACAAGGTCCAAGTAAAGTTGATTGGATGCTACCAGGACTGAAATCCCCTGTCAAATTCAATGTCATTGGGGTTACCTTTCTAATTTCAGTGGGCAAAGTGCCCTCGTCTCCTTCCCTTATAATTGCTGTAAATTCAGGCAATTTCACAGTAAAATTCACAGGCAATTTCACAAGTGAGAAGTGTGTGTGGTACAGAATGTACTCTAGTTACCATATTGATTAGCTTCCATAGATAGAAGTAGTGAGGGTCTCCACCCTGCAGGTCGAGTTTGTTAATGTGTGAACCAAATTTGGTTCATGATGGCAATAGTTGCTTCTACAACAAGGATAAGCAGTCCTCAGATTATTAACTTCATCTTCAGTGAAGTTGTGGTGGCATCATTCTCAGTATCATTCCTAGAAAAGGAAAGCAATACAGCTTTCATTGGGGTTTGTCCAGACAGGTTATCCCTTAGTGGCTCAAATTGTTTAACTGCTTGGACTAATGATTAAAATCCCTTTTCCAGCTCAGAATATCTCTGTTCTGTCTCTTTAAATGCAATTGGGCTGAATGTCTCTGGTCCATCAGGGCTAGTGTGAAACAGGCTGCAGTGCCATGTTCTCTACAGAATCCCATTCTGCTGTAATAGGGTCACTGGGGGGGTTGTGGGACCAAGCTCTGGAACTGCTCCATGTGTTGCTCAGCCCACTCCCATGAGTTTTCCTTTTTGAGCAAACTGTACAAGGGATGGGCAATAATAGAGAAACCAGGGATGTTCGCACCAATATCCTAAAGTTCCCATTGACTGTTGTAATTCTAATCTAGAGAGATTCTACCTGTGCTCTATTTTCCCAAGGTATCAAAAGCAGCTCCATTAATCTATCAGGCTCTGAGGAACTTAACCTCCTTTGTGCCCTTGACACTTGGATGTAGGAATGTCGAAACCTAGGGCTATTAACCCATTCTTCCCCTTTTCTGCTGCACACACAACCTCCACGGGGCCTTCTCCCCCTGGTATTGTATCACTGTGTTGCAAAAGTGTAACCGCAGGCCCCACACCGGGTGCATGAACAGCCTGTTAACCGTAGGTCTGGTCACATTCCAAAGAGCCAGTCTATCAAAGTATGTGGTTCTTTTGGCTTGCCAGAAATATATATACACACATATGATACATGCATGTATGTATACATACATACATGTATATGTACATACATTTGTGTGTATATATATATTTATAAACATTAACTTCAGGGTAGCTGTTTATAGCACTAACAATACAATTGCAATCACAAGCTTAATTTCCTGGGTCAAAACACTTGGCATAGCCAAGGATTCAATTCTGAAAGGTGCTTGATCTCTGAGGACCAGCTGTAAAGCAAGGGGGTTTATTTTCTTCCAAATTGCTACAGCTTTTAACCCAAACCATGGTAACTCTGAACTGATTGGTAGAAAAGAATTGCATTTTTTCTTTTTTTTTTTTTTTGTGAAACTATAATCTGCAGCAGAGACATCTTTAATTATAGAAATTAAATGTGAAAGATACCGAACATTGATTGTATGAATGACGTGGAAAACTTTTCTTGTAGAAAAACACAGGTTCAACCCATTGGTAATTTCCTCGCTTGCCACACCTCAAAAACCATCCAAGTGGTCTCCATCAGCTGTCCGCCCACCTGGACAAAGAGCAGTCATCCCTGACTATAGTTCTACACCAAAGTAAGAGATGCCATTCTAAAAATACTCATACCTCAGATAACAGTCCTGTGGGTTTGGGTTTTTGTGGCTGATGTGAACATTTCTTCAATTGTAAGAATTGAGGAAAGAATTCACAAAACTTCCATATAAGCTTTATGTTTTCTATCAGTCTTGAAATAACTTGTCTCATTATTTTTAGACCCAGGAAGATTATTGGAAGTGGGGCTTCCAGAAAGACATCTAGCATCACGTATGTTTTGTTCCCTTGCCTTTTTGAAGATGACATTTTTGTTGACATGTTTGCTGCACAAAAACTATTATTAAGCTAAATTCATAACATTGTCTGGGCTGCATACTTCATTTTTTGGTTTAAAGTGTTACTCCATTTGAGTGTGTTATTATAATCCCTGAAAGATAGTATGTTTTCCTTTCAGCATATGTATTCTTTGTTGTGGTTGAGAAAGAGATATTCAGTATGATCAATAACTTCCTTTAGTTTCTCTCCTAGATGCTTTTTCTGACTGTGTTAATTTAGAGACTTTGGAGACCTAATTTTTTTAGTTTATTGATATTTTCATACTGCAGCCAAAATGAAATACAATATTCCATGTTCTGTTCACATCAGGTACATTACTTTGACACTTCCTGCACTGAAAAATTCCCACATCTGACTGTTGTCACAAGAGACTTTCTGTGGCACAGATTCCTTGACCCTGAAATTTGCTCTACCTGCTGATCCATGAAAGCCCATCTGTGTTTGCCTGGCAAGACTTGTTTTATATTGGTCTCTTGTTTTGTAAAGATGGTTGCATAAATTGAAAGTATTGTGTGTATAAGAGAGCATTTTGGGATAACTTTCTGAATTCAATTAGCAGTGTGATTTCTTTTAATTTTTTTTTCTTTTAAATAGTTAAAATTTAGGGGAGATTCTGTCATTTTGCACTAAGAAAAATGCACATTATTGGAAAGGAAAATACAAGGAAGCTTAAACATGTATGCATTGATGCATGCACTGAAACCCAGTAAGTACTCATGTTGTGTGTGGTTTTCCTTAGAACACCACCATTCAGTTCAGAGGAAGAAGCTGATGAAGATGATATGAAACAGTCTTATGTAACACCAGAGGCATTGCAAAAGCAGTCAAAACCATCAAGCAGCATAGTCCATGCTTTTCAGAAACCTATTGGCAAAAGCAGTGGGGATGGGATGCAGGAAAACGGACCTCAAGAAACTGGAACACCTGCCAAAACTTCTAAAGGTTTTTCACTGCATTTGTATATGGATGTTGTAGCAGCTGTGCATGATTTTGCATTTCATGGTAATATTTCTGTGTTAGAAAACATAGTGAAGGCAGACTACCTAGTCTTGAGTGTGTATATATTATATAGGTAAACACTTTATGTTTTTGCTAATGTGTTTCTGTTAATGTATTACTTAGAGATGTGTGTCATGCCCTTCTATATAAATGCATGAAAAGACACAATCTTTGTCTCAGAGAGACATCTTTTACTTATTTTTACTTTGGGGAAGATTTCTAGAAGGTTTACAGTAAAGTCTCTCCTTGCAAATGGAAACTGTGAATTTAATTTTTTTCTGAATTTTAGGAACAGTAATTCAAAAACTGACCAAACAAGTTGGAGAGAGTCTTTCTAACCATGGAAGTAAGAACAAACCAGCTGGAGGAATTAATGTTGCACAGGCATTTATTAAGAAAGAAGGAGTGAAAGAACCGAAGGTATCACTTTTAATATGCAGCATTATTGCATTCAATAATTGAACTAGATGTATGTTAATTTTTTTTTTTTCATGCTGAAATCATCTTAATGCAAAAAAGAACTTAATTCTCCAAGACAGCTTTGGAATTAGAGCTAAAGTAGTATTTTTGAGTACACCTGCACTGGTGTATAGAAAAGTTCTAGCAAGGGACCAATGGCAAGTTATTTCATCCACACTGCTTATTTAGCTTATACCTTGATGAGTTTGGATCACTACAGCTCAAAAGTTTGGGCATGGCATCATTCTTATCTTCTATTCCAGCAGCATAGAGAGTCCTCGTTACTTGTTTTCCTAGTGTCTTGTTTTGATGGAGGAAAAAAGGAATTTGCTTATCTAATATTTAAAAACATTATTTCTGGAGTTTTATCTAATATGGGTCTCTTAAATACATTTTAATGAGCTTCATCAATCCACAATCATATACTGCTTTCAGACTACATCAGATCTGTTGCTGTCCATTGACTGTGTTCACCAGCAGAATACTAACACAATGGATTCTTTATGCCTTGGGCTCCTAAGGTCCTGGTCTTCTCCTCAGTTTAGAGTTCTGTAATTGGGAAACCATTTTGCTGCAATCTGGGGTCTTTGCCTGAACAGTTTTTAAAAGGAACAAAAGTTACTCCAAATGAGACATCAACAGCAGATAGTGATTTTATTTCAGTTTGAGTAGTTGTTACTAGATTGAAATAGAAAGACAGCTACTAGTTGTATCATTCAATACAATATTGTTTCACTAAATTAGCCAATAATAATTACTGAGAATCCTGTTATCCATAATAAAACTGATACCATAGGGCTTCCTGATTGTGAGTTAAATCTGAAACTCATCACTCCCCCCAGAAACAGTGACGCTTTATTTCATTTTCTAGAGAGGAGTGATTGTCCTAATCAACTTTGGCCATGAGGGTAGCATAATCACGTTTATCCTGTGTCCTTGTAATTGCCACTGATGGCACCTAAGTTGTCCATTGACTGTGGGAGCTGCAAATTGTACCAGATTCAAAGTTATCAACATAGACATGATTATTACAGTGCAATTTTCTGTCTAGCATTACTTCCAAATTCTTTGTAATTCTTTGTTCTTCTGGACAGAAAATTAAACTATAATGAGAAGACAGTAAGTTTCAATTAGATATTAGGAAGAAATTCTTTACTGTGAGGGTGGTGAGGCACTGGAACAAGTTACCTAAAGGAACTGTGGATGCCCCATCCCTGGAGTGTTCAAGGTCAGGTTGGAGGGGACTTTGAGCAGCCTGGTCTAGAGGAAGGTGTTTCTGGATATCACGGGGGAATTTGACTGCATGATCTTTGAGGTCTCTTCCTCCCAGGCATTACCATCATCTTATGAAAAATATTGTTGCCATGATTAATTTAGAATACATTGTGTCCCTGATGTATCCTGTATGGACAGGATAAGTTCAGAATACGCTTATGAAACCAGGGTAGGCACTGCTACTTTTTTTTCTGCAATCTTTACAGAAGATTTTTCTGCAATCTTTACCATCTTGTATGCTTTGGTAATTATATGCATATATTTATGCCCATATTTATATGTTTAATGTAGACATCTTTATATAAGTCTTTGAGTTAATAAAACTGTTTAGCATTTTTGATTGGTGCTATGTATTTACACTCAATCAAAACTGAATTCTGTCTGAAGTTGACATGTTTATCTCTGTTTTTTACTTTAACAATCATTTGGGACTTCTTGAATGTTCAAGGAAACTCTTCCTCCAGCATTTCTTAATATATGTGACTGACTTACCACACCCTCCAAATGCAGATAATTTGAAACAGTGAAATAATGAATTCTGGTATGTTAATAATACAGCACACTGAAGAGATCCATCAGTTTTTGAAAAACAGTCTGCAATGTTAAAATGAAGTTATGTTGCAAGATAAGCATTACTGCAGTCTCTTACCCACTTTTGAGACACACAACATGTTCATATTTGTTGATTTTTCTCTAGTGTATACATACCCTACATTGCTTTCTAATAGCATCTGACCCTTCCTTCTGTGCAATGGAAGCACCATCTACATCCTTACTGTAATACCGGAGACACCAATGAAATAAGGTTTTAGCTTTGGGGAAAAAATATTGTTTGCTTTCCACAGTTAAGCTCTCTAAAAATAGCTTAAATCCATCAAACCATATTTGACTGAAAAATAGGGAAATTCTGTAGCTCTTCTTGCTAAAGGTGAATGAAGATATTTAGTTCTCAGGCAGATGAGGTAAGAGGGACCATGAACTCATTGCCTTCAGGTTAATCTGTTTGAACTGACTCTCATTTTGTGAACTTAGTATACAAATTCACCACTTAATTAAAATATGTTTGTACATGCTGACACTGAGTCTTGAGGGGAATGCATATTTAAAATTTGAGCACCATGTAGTTTTTTAAATGTTCATTATTTAATTTTCTCTTTAAATAAATTAGTTTTAAATTGGAAAGACCTTTACTGCAATATTTTTGCCTAGTTTGACTACAGAATGCTTGTAAACTGCCACCTTGCATGTCATATCTTTATTTTCATGTAAGTAACCTACATTCTAATGCTTAAAGGACTTTCATCTCATTGGAATATCCCAGAAAAGATAATCCGTTTTTAAGGCTGCCGTATAATACCTGAAAACAGACATTTAGGCCAGATACAGAACTGGAAGAACTTTAAATGTTTGCAGTTCCTGACTTTAAAAAAAAACCAAACAAACCTCTTTTAGTTTTGGAACAATAGCAGTGAATTAATATCATTTAGGTAATTGAATTAATGTGGATTTTGAACTGTGATGATAGATTTCATAAAGGCCATGTGCCAGTGCATTCTTCTTTAGCAGTTTCACATTGTTGAGTTTAGGAAAGAACTCAGCACATCTTGAACAGAAAAAGGAAAAATGCCTGTTTTTTCTTGTCCCTGTTAGCTCACAGAAGCTGATGAAGATGATTGGGATATTTCATCAGTAGAAGAAGACATTTTATTGCTGAAAAATGACAGAGGTCAGAAGGCAATGACAGCTCAGAAAAATGAGCCCAATGCTGCATCTGTGGTACATGCATGGGGCCTTCCCAAGAAAAGTGCACCAAAGGAGGAAGGTAACGTATTCACAAGTGACCGACCCACCTAGAGGAGGATTAAGTACAGTGTATTACACTTTGTAATTCAATAGATAGTGTTTTGTAAGAAAAGAACAAGAAAACTTTTGTGTTTAGTTTCTTGCTATCACGTTTTTATGATACTTAGTGGTACATAAACCACACACACACACATAAATACACAGAGATACCAACTTAAATTTGAGATTTTAAACTATAATATTATCAGACTTCAACATCACCTTAAAAATTAATCATCTGAGGTTTTTTTTCTTTCTGAATTTAAGGGAGCAGGGAACCCCCTTTTTCTTGAGAGTAATAACATTTCAGGTTTGTTCAAGGTATCTAACTGATTTACCAGGCTGCGATAAATATTTGAACTAATGCTAAAGCCTCAATCTTACATATAATTTATATAGTAGTTTCTAACCCTAACATTTCAATGTGTGTAAAGGTTAAAGCTGTATCAGTCACATAAAGATATTTCTGGTTGTTTTTGAAGGGAAAGTAACACTGGCACTGACTGCTTGTACTGTGCTTTATCTTCTGTGAGAGAAACAATCTACATATTATCAACACTTGTCATTTGCTTACTGGTTGCTGTTTGGGGCTTCCTGAAGTCCACAGGTGTTTGCTCACATAGCATGTAATTTTATTTTATAGACAAAGTAAAAATATCCCCAAAAGAGTATTAATAACTATTAATTGTTCTGTCTGTTTGTTTTAAAAGGCCTTCATGAAGCTGATAACACAAGCACGTTAAAAAGCAGCTTAGTCACTGTAACAGACTGGAGTGATTCTTCAGACATATAATTGTTCCATTCCTGATTGGAGGTCCTGCTTTTGGGTTCTGCTGGGGTTCAAAATGCAGGTGAAAACATCAAGTGTTTCCCAGTACCTTCTCTCATTGGTCCTGTAATAACAAGGAATACTGTTTACAGAGCTCTTGTGTCTTTCAGTCTGACTCTGAAAAAGAATATTGAAATATGCATTACTGGCCATGTCTATTTGGAAACAAAGTAATTCTTCTTTCTTTTTGTGGCAGTTTAACCCCAGCCAAGCCCCATGCAGCCCGTCATTCACTCCCTCACCTGTGGAACTGGGGAGAGACTTGAAAGAGTAAAAGTGAGAAAATTTGTGGGTTGAGATCATGGCAGTTCGATAGGGAAAGCAAAAGCCACACACACAATCAAAGCAAAACAAGGAATTAAGTCACTGCTCCCATGGGCAGACAGGTGTTCAGCCATCCAAGGAGAACAGGGCCCCATCACACGTAATGGTGGCTTGGGGAGACAAAAGACACTCCAAATGTCTTCCTCTTCCTCCTTTTTCCCCCACTGTATATACTGTGCATGATGCCATATGGTCTGGAATGTCCCTTTGGTCAATTTGAGTCACCTGTCCCACCTGTGTCCCCTCCAAACCTCCCGTGTACTCCCAATCCTTGCCGATGTGGTGGTATGAAAAACAGAAAAGGCTCTGTGCAAGCCCTGCTCAGCAATACCAAAACCATCTCTATTATCAACTCTGTGTCCAGCACAAATCCAAGACACAGCCCCATACCAGCCACAGTGAAGAAAATTACCTCTATCCCAGCCAAAACCAGCACACTCTCATGAATTCAGTGGTGAAAGTCTCTTTCATTTCTCTGAGGTGAAGATTTTGCCTCTAATGTTTACATTAAAGATTGAAACTGGTCTTGCAAGAAAGCCTGTTAACCAATGAACAGAATATACTGTGGAGTATTACTTTATACAATCTTTAATGCATATTTTTTATATTTTATCATGAACTTTATATAAAATTGTCAACATTTTAAAGAAGATATGTCCATGTATTAAACTATTAAGTTTTTACCATGGTTTACAATAAACACTAAATGAAAAGAAAAAAGCCTCAGCTCCAAAACTAATCATTATTAAATGCCTCCTATTTGGGGAAGTCGGTTTGTTTTGGGTTTTTTTGTATTGGAGTTCAGTCTTTCTTAGCATATAAGGACAACAACTGGAAAAAAATAACAATGTCAAGGCACAGTAAGGAAAGCACTAACCTGCCATTGCAGAAGTACTTGACATTTCTGCTTTGTCCATATTGACTGCCTTCTTTTAAAAAAGGCACTAGTGTTTCTACTTAAATAAGTACAGAAATAACATAAACTAAAAAGAACCTTGATTTTGTAGTTCTAATGTAATTTAGATAATATCAGATACAAAACTTTTTCTATACTGTGCCATTATTAAGTAGGACTGTTCGTTTTTTATATTTACGTGGTTGTTCCAAAATAACCAACTTTTATTGAAACTCCACAGGTCCATCAGTTCAAACTTCACCAAAAAAAACTGAGTTTGTGTCTGATTTTAGGGACTTACTCTAGAAAGCATTTTGTGATTATTTGTAATCTCTGTTCTCATTCATTGACTTGTACAAATACTCCCTCAAAGCCATTTCCATGGACAGACAAAGAAAAAAGACTAGCTGTATTTTTGAACTGCAATATGCCAATACAGTGTGTGTGATACCATTCCCACAAGCAGCTGACATGACAAACTGAATTAGTAAATACCTCGTTTATTTTTTTTCAAGAATGCAACATCAGCTCATGATTTCCAGGTATAAACTTTACAATACCAACATCAATCTTAAAATATTATATAATAAAATTTACATCAATATGTAAAAAGCTGCAAGTTAATATTTTTAAAAGTCATTGTCTTAGTAGTACGTACACTGGGCTTGGGGTGGGGGGAATTACTCTGAATGAAACGTACAAAATCACGTTCAAAAACGCTTTGAGTCTTCCAACAGTGCAACTAAACATAAGCGTTCTTGTCAAAGTGCTTGGGTGGGGTTTTGTCAGGGATGCTGTTGTGCACCTTTGTACGAGAAGACATCACAGATGTGGCTCCATTGTAGGCATACCCCCTCCTGAAGAGAAAAAACAACCATTTATAGCTCTTCCCACAGACAGGTGACATCTCTGTATCCAGGCATTCTAGTAATAAAGCCAGAAATGTATGGGAATGTACCTACACATTTCAGGGGAGGTGGCATGTTCCTACTCTGTGTGGTCCCATCCTAGTTAAACATTGCCACTCCAGCTATCTCCTTGCACCAGTCTTTACACTTTCCTGTAACACATATTCCCTCGTTCACAGCTGAGTAAACTAGGGCCTAATCATTAAATAATTTAAATTGTGGCAGACCCTAGGTGAATAGCTACTCTTTACAGCTGTTCCTCTTTGTTATCACCCCTCTTCAGCTGCTGGAGGTCCCACTGCCACCACTGCTCGCTTTTGATCTGATGATTTGAGATCAAATAAACTTGTCTATTCATGCCTGTAAAGCCACCTGACCATTTTTCCTACATCAGTGAATGCACTGTTTTGCAGCTGTAGTAAATTTATATATGTATATCACAAGTATTTGTTCTGAGCCAGTAGCTTTTCTTAATTACATTAATGGTGGACAAAGCATTATCCTTACATCCCCTTACTTTCTTTTATCCACACAATCTTTTTCAGAATCTCATTACAAAGTGTTTTGAAACTGTAATCAAACTGCATACATATAGTAGGTAAAAATGCAGAGGTATTGATTTCTTTCAGTAAGTACAACTTGTGTTTTACCTTGCAGTATTACTGTTTTCAGCTATTGAGAAGCAGAATATAATGCCACCAATTATGCAGAGTGATGCTCCAGCCCATCCAATGAACAAAGCTGCTCCTAATTCATACCTACAAGAAGTCAATAAATGTATTTAACAAAAGAGAGCATGGATTTATAGGGTTATTTCCAGAATAAAATAACTAAATATTATGTTTTTCTTGAATAACTTTCCATTGACACATAAATTATTCACCACAAAATCAGCAGCTCTGCCATTCACCGGCGTTCTTTTCATTACTTCCCTCTGACTAGGGAGGCAGACTCTGTCCCTGCAGTACACTTGGGCAATGCTTCTCTCCCTGCTCGGCTGGGGTTAGGGTTAGGGGAAGGCCTGGTCTTTGTGCATCTCCTCCTGGATTGCTTTGCTGTGGGCTTCTGTCATTCTGTGGCCTGTTTAGAGCACCAGCTCCTCCATTTCAGTTTTGTTCTTGTTGGCTCTCAAATCAAACTGGACTGAGCTTTTGCTGGGCCAGAGACTACAAATTCTGCCTACAAATCTCCATAAGTTTCCCCTCTGGCTCTCAGGATCTGTCTGCCTCCATCCCTCATCATCCACACACCAGCCTGCTTAAAACATGAGGGTTTGTACATATGCATAATATGCATATGGAATATACATGTAATGTATATGTATGCAACATATACATATACATGCACAGGTGTGTCTGGTATAAGCATTTGCACACACAGGTGCATGCTCCTGCATCTTTTGCCTTCTCTAGTGCCTGTGACTAGATTTTATCTGGAAGAAGCTTTTCCCCAGCACCTTCATGGGCACAGCTCACAGTCACCAGCAATGGTCCCCTCTGCTGCCTCAGCCAGCCACAAACTGTTTGCTGCCAGGAACTGCTCCGTTTGTCTCCGAGAGGAGACCGTGGTGCTTTAGGAGCATTATCCCACTAAGTCCATGTTTCTCAAGTAACAGTAGTAAATGAAGGGAAAGAAGGGCATTGGGAAGAGATTCTTTTCTTTCCTCTCAGTGCTGATGCTTTAAGACAAGCAGGAAACCATGGGTGCTCCTTGTCTGCTCCATTCCCCAACTCTCTGCCTGAGTACTTAAAGCACATTAAGGATGGCCTGCTTTAGGCTGCAGCCCAACTTCTCCAGATTCTCCTATTCCTCATCTTTAGAAAACACTTGTGTGTCTCGCTCTTTCTCTGCTGCAGTTTCCCCTTGAGGACACCTTTATCTTCTCCACGCTTATGGGATCTTTCATGGAAACACAGGCACATGTCCCCGATCCAGCCCCAATTACTAACCAGGAGTATGTGCTGTTCAAGCAGATGCTACTAAATTCATTTATTGTAAACTGTGGTGAGGCAGCCAAATAAAAGCCCCTGCTTGACAGCCTGCCTGTGCAACTGCAACACGGTGTAGTTGCACTCAGCTAGTTGTGAACATTTCCATGTGCACAGGCCCTAATTCCACATTACCAAAATATCTAACTGAAAGTACCTGTCAGCTGTTCTGAAAAACTTATATTTTTACAAAAGAGCATTGGAGAAACAGTCAAAAAAATCCAGTGAGGTGTTAGAAGACTCCATACCATAAATCATCAATGGGCCAGGAGGCACATGCAAGATCCGTGAAGAGCACATGAGGATCAGGTGCACAGACTGTGAGGGGATAAAGACCCAGGGATTTCTTTGTTCAGGCTCCCTCTCTGAAGACACCAAACTCAAGCTGAAATAAACTGACTCTGCCTCAGAACCCTTCCTCAACACCAGCATGGAGCTTACAGACCCAACCCCCAATTTAAACTGCTGGGAACCATAGCTCCTTCCTGGAAAACACTCCACCCAATCCCATTTCACTTCAAAATCTGCCAAACCTGTAAAATTTTAATTCTACTTATGCTCACATTTCCAACCACCTTGCTACGGTTTTCACATGACTCAAGGAGATTTGTGTCTCTCTGAGGACAGGAGGTTCTCTGATTAGAAGCAGAGATCTACATCAGAGCTCATCACCTAAGATCCCAGTATATTCAATATGCAAGAAATACACACAAAGTGCACTTCTAAAACATTGTCAAGGTACCTCTTTCATTGACCTGTGAAAGCAGACCAGAGGGACTAACTCAGATGTGGGAAAAGCTCCCTCATGGGGATCCCTCCATCCCTACAGAACTGCCAGAGCACACCTAAGGTATCAGGACCAGGATTAGGCTCCCCACAGAAGTCGATGCAGATCACCACACTGCTGGAGATCAGAGCTGGACCAAGATCCAGCATAGCCATTGCAGTAACAACTTATTTCCCAAGACCATTTGCCTAGAAAGTGGGAAACACAAGTTTCCATGTTTTTATCTAACAAGAAATAGTTGACCAGAGGCTGAGGGATTTAAGGAGATCAAGCGCTATCTTCCCTTCCTGAAACTCTGATTGTACAGAAAAGAAATCATTACCATATTTGATAGAACTGGGTAGAAAAGGGAAGAAGAAGAAGAAGAAGAACCCCAGAAGACATGGGGTTCAGCCTTTGTAGTTGGGTTTGTTTCAAAGGGATACCTGAGTGTTACCTACTAGTTGGGACAGAAGACATGGGGTTCAGCCTTTGTAGTTGGGTTTGTTTGAAGCAACACTTGTTATTATACCATGATTAAACAGATTTGTGTATGGCCCTGGTCGAGGGACTGCCACACCGCCAGGTTAATGAGTTCAAGAGCTGTCCTGATAGGTCTTTCTTCCACATCTTCAAACAACCTTTCTGATTTATACTGGTACTTAGGAGGAAAACTCAAGATTTTTCAATTGCATATCAATGCCTATATCTTCTTCCACATCTTCAAACAGAGAAAACAACCTTTCTGATTTATACCGGTACTTAGGAGGAAAACTCAAGATTTTTCAATTGCATATGAATGCCTATATGGGAAGTTAGTCAGATAATTGCAATTAAAAATAGTAAAGAAGGCTGGAGGGAAATCCTGATGATTGACACAAGGTGCTGAATGCCTCACGTCATTTGTTTCCCACTAATGGTATCTCAAGCCTGTCTTTGACACTGCCAGAATAACTTCAGGAGAGAAATGTGCAGTAAAAGGCAAAAGGTTGAAATCCTATCTCAGTGAAGACACAATTCCAAATTTCCACAATATCACAGCAAACATATGAAATGTGCCTGCAATGCATAACAAAGTAAGGGTTTGTAGGTGGCAACAAATGGAAATTTTACATCAGTTGAGAAAACAAATGGAAATTTTAATGCCACCACTAGCTCAATCTGATGCAGGGTCACTGCATGAGCTACGTGCATTGTGCACAACTCAAATTAAAATTTCAGGATTTTCTCTCTGCCTTCATCTTTGTAATCATGATTATATCTGCCCACAGCTGAGCTATGCTGGTTGTCCACAAAAAAAAAGGTAATTTCTGAAGAGGATGTTTTACTACCGTTATTTCAATATTTAAACTGGATTTCTCATTCCTTCACAGTAAAATTCCATTGTGAGGTCTGCCTGCTCTATTGCAACACATGAGGGTAGGAATACAGTGTAAGAAAAGGACTTCTGGCAGCAATCATGGCATTTTTCACTAAGAACAGTAAGCCTGATGAATAATTAACTTCTGTCTATATAGCCAGGCTCCATTTTCTTCAAAGAACCTCACATCCTTCTTTCTTATGGTGGCCTTTCGAGCCTGTCTTCTCTACATCAAATAGGCAGAAAGTATAGGAGAATTACAGAGAAAACTAATACAAGATTGTATGGAGAAAACTAGTACTGTTTCAAGATAGAAAAAGCAGTGTCAACCCTACTGCAAATGTAGATCCCTTTAGTGTTATTTATTCAGACTATTTTCTTTCTGTCAAAGTGAAACATAAAGGCTCAGGTTTCCTTACCAATCCCTTACTTGAGTATCAGGGAAATGTACACCCTATGTTTGGCATATTCTGGAATCACTGCCAAGAATACTTTAAAATCCTTGCCTTTAAAAACAGTTTACATCACATATGAAGGCAAAACAGGAGTCTCCGATGCTATAATTTACAGCCAACATTTTCAGACTTGGT